GAGGATGATAAGGTCTTGTTTGTATCCTGTAAGTAGAAGCCAACATGTGTAGGAAGTGGAAGACCAATGGGGAGATAAACATACTGTGTTTTCAATTTAGAGCTCTGTTACTGTTGATTTGACCATGGTAAATTGAATTGACACTGTATACCTGTCTTGTAAAGAATATGAAGAGACCTTCAACAAGAGACCACAAAAGTGTCAACCTGATACACATGTAACATGTATAACAGGACCCATGAAGATCCGGGTTAGAATAGGTCTTCAGCGACCCATGCTTGCTGTAAAAGGCGACTATGCTTGTTGTAAGAGTTGACTAATGGGATCGGGTGGTGAGGCTCGCTGACAAACAAACAAACAAAAAGAATTGAAACTGAATACACAGAAAATGTGACCTCACAGTCAGCTTTAAAAAACTCAGCAAATTTCAAGCTCTCTGTTGCCCCCAAAACTTGAAATGCACACTTAATCTTATTCTATGCTGTTTTCTGCAAAAAATATGTTCACTTTGAATATTGTAGTTACCACAAATCTGCATTTTATAGCCTGTAATTGTTCATATTATTTAATAATACCTATCGACAATGACTGAGAATGAAGTACTTTTCAATTAATATCATTTTCCAAGAGATGTAGACATCAAATTGGCAGTTTCTATCAGAGGTGGGTATTGTGATTTGATACCTCTAAGTATCAAGTATTTCCATGATTCATGGTGGTATTATTCATATGAAGGTTTTCTCCACCATGTCCACTGAGGAACACAAGTAGTGCGTGACGAGAGGACACCTATTTACTTAAACTTACTTCAGTACTACATGTACATAGTATGTTGTGTCTATATTTAGGTTTATTCTTAAGCAACTCTTGTATACTCTCAATATGAATGTAAATCTGCAGGTCATGTTCCTTGCTAGGTCAAGGGTATTTGGGGAACTGGCTGATGTTAACTTATACAAGAGACCATACAACTATATGGACAACAACTTCTGTTTTTTTGCATTTAGCAACGTTTTGTATAGATTCTTACACCGTTATCAATATGGAGTGACTACAACCAAGTGATGAGTGATATATAACATGACATGTTGTGATAGGCAGCAGATTAACCACAACAGTTAATGAATAACAAGAAGCACAAAGGAGAATACTAAATATGTCTGCCTATGTAGAAGAAATGTCATCTTAGTAGTAAGTGTACAATTAAATTCTTTATTACTGAAACTATTTTCTAAGTCTTGGAATTAATAATAGCAGCAACAAGTCTTTGCCACAACACCAAACTAGTGACTCTCAGCATGACTAATCTGACCATGTTGACAGTTAACAAGACAAGGCAGTACTTGGACACAGGAACATTCTGATATCCTCATGCATATTTGTCCACACAACTGGTGATATTTATTCTTGATATTGTGAAGGCAAGGGTTGCATTCTTGAGCCTTTTTATCCCCCCAACATATAATGACGGGGGGATATAGCCATCAGTATGTCCGTCTGTCCGTCCTTCTGTCCGTCTGTAATCATTGTTTGTCCGGAGCATATTTCCTAAACCTAGCTTCACAAAACTTGGTACACTTACCAATCAGGCTCAGAAGAAGTGCCTTTTGCTATTTAGAGATTTTTAGTATTTTTTATTTTTGTCGTTTCCATGGAAATATGATGAACTTAGGAAATTTGAGGGTAGTGCTCTTGTCCGGACCATATCTCCGGAACCATACAACTTAGCTTCTCAAAAGTTTTTACACCTATCAAGCAGGTTATGTAGTGGTGCCTTTGCTATGAACAGATTTTTTCTTTTTTTTTCTTTTTTCAATTTAAATTGAAAATTGATGAACTTAGGGTAATGTCCTGTCTGGAGCATATCTTCTAAACCATGCGACAGAGATTCACCAAACTTTATGCACATATCAATCATGTTCACTAGTAGTGCAGTTTGTTATTTACACACAGTTTACCGACATGCCACGTCTGGGGAATATGTCATCTTAGGATGACTCTTGTTTATGTTTTTTTAATCCTCAGTTCTCAGTTTTTTATTTTAAAGTACTTTTACAAGAATATAATTGTTTGATATTAACAATTGTTTCATTTTAACACATCAGAGCCCATGAACTAAATGATAAGGGCTGTGCATGTATTTCTGAATATAAGACTTGGATGTATTTGTTGTATATTTTGAGCCATTAGGATCAATGTCTAAGGATGAAATGTTGCCATTGAGTCTGCTGTGTGAGCATGATGAGTAGTATTATGTGCATGAACAACATTGAGTCTGCTGTGTGAGCATGATGAGTAGTATTATGTGCATGAACAACATTGAGTCTGCTTTGTGGGCATGATGAGTAGTATTATGTGCATGAACAACATTGAGTCTGCTTTGTGGGCATGATGAGTAGTATTATGTGCATGAACAACATTGAGTCTGCTGTGTGAGCATGATGAGTAGTATTATGTGCATGAACAACATTGAGTCTGCTGTGTGAGCATGATGAGTAGTATTATGTGCATGAACAACATTGAGTCTGCTGTGTGAGCATGATGAGTAGTATTATGTGCATGAACAACATTGAGTCTGCTGTGTGAGCATGATGAGTAGTATTATGTGCATGAACAACATTGAGTCTGCTGTGTGAGCATGATGAGTAGTATTATGTGCATGAACAACATTGAGTCTGCTGTGTGGGCATGATGAGTAGTATTATGTGCATGAACAACATTGAGTCTGCAGTGTGGGCATGATGAGTAGTATTATGTGCATGAACAACATTGAGTCTGCTGTGTGAGCATGATGAGTAGTATTATGTGCATGAACAACATTGAGTCTGCTGTGTGGGCATGATGAGTAGTATTATGTGCATGAACAACATTGAGTCTGCTGTGTGGGCATGATGAGTAGTATTATGTGCATGAACAACATTGAGTCTGCTATGTGGGCATGATGAGTAGTCTTTTGTGCATGAACAACATTGAGTCTGCTGTGTGAGCATGATGAGTAGTATTATGTGCATGAACAACATTGAGTCTGCTGTGTGAGAATGATGAGTAGTATTGTGTGCATGAACAACATTGAGTCTGCTGTGTGAGCATGATGAGTAGTATTATGTGCATGAACAACATTGAGCCTGCTGTGTGGGCATGATGAGTAGTATTATGTGCATGAACAACATGATTAAACATGTGGCATTGACATGAGGAAATAAAGGGCAGTAAATTAGACACATTGTAGACAAAGTGTAAACACTGTGGACCTGTTGTAGGCAGTATACACATTCTAGACTGTGTAGACAAATGTAAACATTGTGGACACATTCTAGACAGTGTAGACAAAGGTAACAATTGTAGACAATATACACACTGTAGACAATGTAGACAGAGCATTGAACATGTTCACAATATCATGTTTATGTTGTATATTGAACATGTTTACTATTTCATGTTTATGTTGTATACCTTATGGTTTAAACATATTTTTATTTCAAAAGAAATCTGGATCGGTAAACAAGCAAAACTTGCTTATGTAAATACCTCTCCAGGTAATAACTTTGCAACAACTGGTTATATATCAGATTATATGTAAGATAGTGCTAAACATAAACATACTAAATGCACAAATGAAATATATGAAGCCAATACAAGTGGTGTCTGTGAAATAAGATATAGCAGTTTTCCATTACTACATGCATAAAATTAAGCTACTCGAATCTTTTGCTTTTGACAATGAAATCGTGAACTGATTTAACAATAGTCATGTTTGTAGAACTGCTAACTGAACTATTGCCATGTTATATCGTTTTTAAATCATACCCTAATCATACCTTATTTTCTTGAGTATAGTGCGCACCCATGTATAATGTGCACCCCCCTCTAGCGGGTTCAATATTTTGGAAAAAAAAGAAATTTTAATATTATGCGCAGAAAAAAGTGACACCGTTCCCCTTCAGCGAAGTCCGGCAAACGAACAGGTGATGAGAAACTTCGTCAGTACAAAGCCAGACACAGCAATCAGCTGTGCACACGTTTTCTTGGAATCTACCGGTGATTCGGGCAAGACACACCCAATGATATAACTTTACAGGATTTTAATGCAAGGATCGGCAAGGAAATGAATTAAAACAATATTACCGGGTAAAAGGAATTTTGAATAAAATTAATGAAATAAGTTACAAACATAAGTCCAGATATACAAAGAACTCTTTTTATAGCCACACAGTGTAATTACATGAATAATTTGTGAACTTCAGTATGGATTTGTTGACATGGTATTTCCGGTGTTACGTGCTCACAGTAATGTCTTTCCATGGGGGAAAAAACATCAAAACTCATGAATTCTTATATAATGCGCACCCCCTTCTACACAGCTGTGTTTTTTGGAAAAAAAGTGTGCACTATACTCAAGAAAATACGGTATTGAACATGTTTACTATATCATGTTTATGTTGTATATTGAACATGTTCACTATTTCATGTTTATGTTGTATATTGAACATGTTCACTATTTCATGTTTATGTTGTATATTGAACATATTTACTATATCATGTTTATGATGTATATTGAACATGTTTACTATATCATGTTTATGTTGTATATTGAACATGTTCACTATTTCATGTTAATGTTGTATATTGAACATGTTCACTATATCATGTTTATGTTGTATATTGAACATGTTTACTATTTCATGTTTATGTTGTATATTGAACATGATTACTATATCATGTTTATGTTGTATATTGAACATGTTCACTATATCATGTTTATGTTGCATATTGAACATGTTCACTATATCATGTTTATGTTGTATATTGAACATGTTTACTATTTCATGTTTATGTTGTATATTGAACATGTTTACTATATCATGTTTATGTTGTATATTGAACATGTTCACTATATCATGTTTATGTTGTATATTGAACATGTTCACTATTTCATGTTTATGTTGTACATCAAACATCTTTATTCTGCCATGTTTATATTGTTGTTACGTTTGTTTCAGGATGATGATAAGTGCAACCCTCAGGATGGTTGAAATTCCTTTATTGACGTGCATTATTGCAGCTGTTCTTACCTCAGGTCAGTTTTAGTGAGAGTATACAGCTACATTCCACAAGCCAATTACTGTCATGCACACATAGAATTCCTTTCTCTCTGAACATGTACAGTAGGTCTTGTCAGGTGATTTTCGACCCATATAAATCACTCAACAAGACACTGCTATGGCTGGACTGTTGTTACCAGTCTGCCTGCATACAGGGGTCACTAGGAACACATTTGGGTCATTTTGCTGTGACACAATCAATATCCTTGGTGGACACTAGGCCAAAATATAACATGCCTTTGTTTCAGGCAGTACTCCTCAACCTGGCAAAAAGTTGGGGTTTGACAGCTGCAATTTCTTTCTTTCATATACATGTATGCCCTGCATATACTGGAGGGGGATCAAAAGGCAGGGGTTAAGGCCCCCCCCCCCCCCCCCCCCCTCCCACCACAACCACCACCACATACACACCCTTTTGAAAACCAAATGTAGTATGGTGTAGGCAGTAAAATTGACTGAGAGAGGATTTTGATATTTTGGACCCCTCCCTTTAAAAAATGCTGGAGCCGCCCTTGAAACTAACTACCTAAAATGCACCCACCCACCCACCCACCCACCCACCCATCCACCCATTCACCTACCTACCTACCCTACCTTTCATCTGTGTGTCTGTGTGCACCTTCTTCTCAGATACCCTAAGGCTAAAAAAGCTATTTTGGTGGGATACGTGTCATTCCAGGATGTACAATTGTATTCCGATTTAATCTTTGCATTTACCACGGATACATGATTTAGATTAAAAATTCATCTTTTTTTGTTAATAGTAAAAAGAACAGAACATTTCTAAGAATACCGAGGGATCGAGGTGGGACTTTGTGATAATATTAATAAGTTTCTATTATCATGATTATGTGTTTTAGACACATCTGTCGTCAACTTTGGCCATTGTGGATGATACTGCAATAATCTTATAAAGTGATCTACCAAATGTAGTGATACTTCACAGAACAGTTGTTACTATCGGCTCATAAACCAGACCTCATCCTACAGCCAATTAACAACCACGTTCCCATACTTAGTGACTAAAGATTTTACTATACCATATTCGACGTAATAAGCGCCCAGGGCGCTCTCAAAATTAGAAATAGGGGGCCCTTATAAGAATGTTATTTTGGTGAAAAAAACAGAGTTGAAAGATAAATATCGTGGTTTATGCTGACGGCCTGAAATGTTTATGTACGACAGATATATTTTTCCAGAATTTAATTGCCCATAATTAAGGGTGCATATAACACACGAGTGCGTATTATACGCGAAAAAATAAGTCTTGTGCACATTGATCAATCAGAAGGGGTGCCAGTTGGGATTGTTCAATAGCCAATATATTAGCAAATATCGCCGTGGGTGCTTATTAGAGCGGGGCGCTTATTACGTCGAATACGGTATACCGGTATATAAAATTCCACTCACTACCTGGTGAGAACAGTGCCTTGGGCTATTTTATTCATGTGCAGTTGAATGTGTGGAGATTAATGCCACTGCTTGTAGTATTGTTCCAATATCATGCCAGGGTTAATTGTCAAGAGCATTTACATATTGTATAAAGGGAATTATCATGATAACTACCTGTACGGAATGTTTCAGTATGATAGAATCTTAACATAGCTAACTCCCGGTACAGGTCGCATGACCCGGAGTTGACCCCGAATGTCGTGTGTATGGTGACGCTGTGCCATGACTCGTGTCTGGGATGGTCTTAGAATGATAAATGATGGACATCTGAGGCGGATCTTCTCAGCGTAATGTTTGTTGTTCAGGAAACATAAAGCTGCCATCATTGTTTATAGCTTCTGTTGTTTTCTACAAATGGCAGTTGTAGATCAGATGGTTGAGGTGGTTTATGAGGTTAGCTTACAAGGACCAAGCTAGCCCATGTGTGGTTTGGTCATGACCTGGTTGTCCATCTTCTGTCATTACTATCATCAATGATCAGCATTTATATCTGCGATGATCAGCATTTATATCATCGATGATCAGCATAGTTGTCTGTAATTATCTGAAGCCAGTGGAGCTGAAAGGTGAAATTCTTGTCCCCACCTACTGTGAGACCTCAGTTCATTTCAATACGACTGCCACTGGAGACAGTCTTTACAATATCTACCTGTGACCTTGGTCTTTATTTAAAAAATAAAATAAACTTGTTTGAATGGCTGTTGTGGAGTTATGTTTTTGCCAAGTTTTGATTATTGACTTTGATTTCTCCATGTTGACCATGGCCTGAAGAGTTTGAAAATTTTCTTTGACTGACGTTAAAGAAAATACCCTCTCACAGCTTCTTCTACAGGGCATAGGGAACTCTTATGACTCAACGCGGGGGGCAAATACGAAGGTCATGCATAGGTAGAACATATTTAATGGTTTGTGGTTAGACTTTCTGTCAATATTTTCATCACCAAACATTTGTGTGACAGCTCTAGCTTCCGGTCAAGGTCGCTGTTCTGAAATGGTTATCATGGTTATATCATTATGATCATTCAGGGCTCCAGATTATATTTTTGAGCCATTGTGTACTTAAATGTCACTATTTACATATGGGATTGATTGTTTTCTTTGGTGTTCGATATATTATTTGTGTCTTGGGTCCAGTCTAGTGGGGTTTTGTAAGACTCAGTCCCAGGTTGTGTGATGTTGCACATCAATGCATTATTCACTGCATAGGGTTCATGTACATAGGTTATGTCTGCATTCAGTCAGTGAGAAAAAATCTGTTGTGCATGCAGGCTGAACAAGAACAAGCTGCATTGGGTATTTGTGTACAGTTTTGTTACACTATTAAGTTATCAAGTTTCTTTATGCATATTTGTACGCAAGCAACCAGCATTCATTCAGTTATGGTGATTTGGTTTGTAAATTTTATATGGAGCTCTTATCATTGTATGTCAGCAGTGAGTGAGCGAGTTGGTTTTTTTTTCCGCTTTTAGCAGTACTGAATATTAAGGCGGGGGACACCAGAAATGTACTACTCGATACGAAGTTAAAGAACGCCTGATGCCATGACAGATTAACTACAGTAACATGAAATAACCGAGTGTTCTTTTACGTCTTTTGAGTAGTATACATCAAATGTCTTGTCAAAGGTCAAAAGTGTCTGTATCATTGATTGAAAATTATCAGTGCACTTTCATAATCCTGATAATCCTGAGACGGCATATAAAGATATATCCTAATAACACTGGGGCGGTTGGGTAGCCTCGTAGTTAAAGCAATCGCTTGTGACATGCCGAAGACCCGGGTTCGAATCCCGACATTGGTACAATGTGTTAAGCCCATTTCTGCTGTTCCTCGCCGTGATATTGCTGGAATATTGCGAAAAGCAGTGTAAAAAACACACTCACTCACTCACTCACTCACTCAATCACTCACAATAACACCAGTACGTCTGTATAATTATGTAAGCAAGAGACTCAAGAAGTTCTTGTTGAAATAGTTGAATGTCTACTGCATTCGTTTTCCAAAGCGGAAATGGGACCAAAATGTCGTCTAAGTTGCCACAAATAGCTTTGAAGAGTTGCCTCACTCACTCACTCACTCACTCACTCACTCACTCACTCACTCACGCACAATAACACCAGTACATCTGTATAATTATGTAAGCAAGAGACACAGGAAGTTCTTGTTGAAATAGTTGAATGTCTACTGCAGAATGCATTCGTTTTCCAATACAGAAATGGGACCAAAATATTTGGCTGTATGCCAACTCTTTTCAAGTCATTTTTTTTCTTCTGTGCTTGGCACTGTGTGACTTCCAAGGTTGAAATAGGATAGTGCTTCGCTTTGTTATTCCAAAAACACTCATGTTTACCACGTTGACCCTTGTGCATGTTGTGTGTCACAGCAACTGCTTGTTACAGATCACTGATAAGCCAAGCCATGTACTGTTCAGTTATTGTGATACCTAACAAAGCATTCAAGGTTAGATCATGAATATCATAAGATCTCATGTACAGACAACTCCTTAGTTAGGATTCTGGGAAATACAACACCTTTGAGTTCTTACATTGATTTTACCACGATAGGTTAGATGAAATGAGTTCACCTCGCTTATAGACTCCACTCAGATGCAGTGTACTGACTCAGAGCCTACTTGTCCTTGTTTTATATCTCTAATGCCGAGCACCATCTTTCTCCATGTTTTGGTTTGGTGCGACTGGGGATCGAGCCACTGACCTTCTGCTCTCCAGGCAGACACTATTCACTAGACCACTGACCGTCTGCTGACTCCAGGCAGACACTATTCACTAGACCACTGACCGTCTGCTGACTCCAGGCAGACACTATTCACTAGACCACAGATGCAGTCACAGAATATTAAGAGACCTTCAACTTAACCACAAAAGTGTCAACCTGATACACATGTAACAATACCCGTGAAGATCCGGGGTAGAATAGGTCTTCAGCAAACCATGCTTGCCGTAAAAGGCGACTATGTTTGTCGTAAGAGGTGACTATCGGGATCAGGTGGTCAGACTCGCTGACTTGGTTAATGCATGTCATCGTATCCCAATTGCTTGGATTGATGCTCATGATGTCAATCACTTGATTGTCCAGACTCGATAATTTGCAGACCTCCGTCAATAGCTGTAATATTGCTGAGTGCGGCATTAAACAATAAACAAACAAACAAACACATATAACAGACTGATATTGTCACAACCCTTCTTGCAGTTAATACTATAAAGTATATTTGTATTTTGATAATTTCCACATCTATGTAGCTGACAGGATATTTCATCTTATGGTAATGACACCGATGACAGGTAGCCCAGTTGTCAGGCTTATTGTCTAACTTAATCATCACGTGTCCCCATATTGAGCCCCTGGCTCCAATAACCATTACCTGACCAACTCCTTCACCAATCTGTTGTCCTTCCAAGTGACCCATACTTAGGCAGAAAAGGACAGGACAGATGCAGTTTCTTGCTTATGTAACAGAAAATGGGGCTTAGAGTGAGTGAATGAGTGAGTGAGTGATTGTGTGTGGCTTTACACCTTATTTATCGATGAAGCCTAGTAGTTAAAGAGTTCACACGTCACGCTGAAGACCCGGGTTCGATTCCCCACATGGGTACAATGTGTGAAGCAGTTTTCAGGCAGCCCCCGCTGTGATATTGCTGGAATATTGCGAAAAGCAGCGTAAAAACCATACTCACTCACTCACTCACTCTCACTCACTCACTCACTCACTCACTCACTCACTCACTCACTCACTCACTCACTCACTCACTCATTCACTTACTCACATATGAAATGTTTTATCTAAATGAATTATGACAAAGTCAGCGTATTGATTGGTGAAATGTAGAAAGCAGTCTGAGAAGGGAAATGATGTTTTGATGTGATACCATCTGTTCCCAGTATCCGGGGTTCCAACCATGCTGACTCCACCAGGGACCGTGACAGGAACTGTCGGAGGGACTGCCATTCTGAAGTGTCAAGTCCAAGACTTGGGAGAAGCCACGGTATGTACTTTAATAAGAGTATATATAGTTACATTAGTTTGGCCTCCTCAGTGAAACAAGCTGCCAGCTGTAACCATGCTTATTGTGTGTGATTTGTTGGCTTAGAGCGACTTCTTAGCTCCTCCAAGTCTTTCCCTCTGGTGTCCTGGTCCTCAAACTGTGATTCGATCAATTCAAGCTGTCTATCCATTTGTTTTGCATCTTCAAGTGTTAGTTTAGGTTTCAGCTGCATTTTCTCTGACACTTCCTTATTCTGTCTCTGACTGCCTCTTCTTTGTTGTCTCCGAAATCACTGTTCAGCTGGTTCCAGCTGGTTCCTAAAATACTCCGCAGATTCCTCCTGTTTCTGGAAGCATTGATAGAATTTGGCACGCTCGTGAATGATATTGCATCAAACTTTAGGACAAGATTTTCGTAATTCTTGTCCTCATCATCTCGCCATGTAGAAGAGGTCAGAATTGTGTCTGGTTCCTCACCCATGGCATACACAAATGACAGGGTTTGGAGATCCTCAGACACCTTGTTCAGTTTCGTGGCGATACGAAATCGAGAAAACCACTGTTGCCAGCGAGGCCATTCTACCGGGCTTCGTGAAATTAAAGTTGTGGGAGAAATTTTGCAATACTTACCGTTGACAGTCCGCTTCTGACATCATGCCATATAAACAAAGCTGTTGTCTCCATTCAACAAACTGTATTCTTGAAAGAACTACACAGTGGTTCATGCGTTTTCAGGTCATGCACATGTGCTCGACCCTCACATCCCATAATTCTCGGCAGGCGGCATAACTCCTGAATGGACATCTGCTGAATTAAAACTTAGTGATGGAGTAAAGACAAATTTCTTATCAAATCAGAAATATCTGATAAATAAAACTGACAATCATGTTTCAATTTAAATAGTTTTAATCTTTCTATTATACTTGCTCTTTTGCCTCCAAGTATGGGCAGCCATTCGGTCAAAAAATACAAAGTTGAAAAAAAAGGACAAAAGTACACAATTAAGGTCAAATATGACGAATAAAGAACTAAATGTTACTACTAAAGGTCAAAATACAATATTAATAGTCAAATGTTACGAAAAGACGTTATAAGAAAAGAAAGAACAATGTGTACGAAAAAACGTCATTGAGCACGAAAGGACGTTTTCAATAAAGAACGCCAGTGAGCACGAAAGGACGTTTTCAATAAAGAACGTCAGTGAGCACGAAAGGACGTTGACAATAAAGAATGCCAGATGGCGCTGCAATTTGTAAAACATTCCGAGTTTAATCGGCTTGTTCCGCTGTGTATATGATAACTGCATGCCGAGGTGCACAATGTATTACATCATTCCTCGTGCACTCACCGTCTGACGTCACACATATAAATGTGGATGTAAACAAGCGAAATAAATATGGTTTGAAAACGAACACTGGGGTCATAGATGAAACTCGATTTTCTTTATTTATGGCGAACTATTTTTCCAAACGAATGTGTAAGTTATACATATGCATACAAATCCATTTGGTATATATATTTGCTGTTCAGATATTAGGCAGCTTTTTGTTCGCACACAGTTTCCGAAAAGCTGTTAAATATAACAAACTCTCGCACAACGTTCACTTTTCAGATGAAAATGTGCGTCTGAAACAAAACTCTGCATCATAGAACCCTCATGTTGCACCAAGCATGAACAGTTATTGGATCACTGTAGATGAATCCTAGTTTAGCGTTAAGTGAGTGTTTTTTGAAGGTTGTATACAAAATACATGTACCAATTTTAGGCAGATGTTGGATTACACAGTATACTGTATTTATGAAAAGGCCCTTAAGCGGTGACAAAGACATGTTTATACACAATGTGTACATTATACATTATAAATACATGTATATATATGTGTGACGTCAGACGGTGAGTGCACGAGGAATGACGTAATACATTGTGCACCTCGGCATGCAGTTATCATGTACTATACAGGTCGGAACAAGCCGATTATACTCGGAATGTTTTACAAATTGCAGCCATCTGGCGTTCTTTATTGTCAACATCCTTTCGTGCTCACAGACGTTCTTTATTGAAAACGTCCTTTCGTGCTCACTGACATTCTTCCGTACACATTGTTCTTTCTTTTCTTATGACGTCTTTTCGTAACATTTGACTATTAATATTGTATTTTGACCTTTAGTAACATTTAGTTCTTTATTCATATATTTGACCTTAATTGCGTACTTTTGTCCTTTTTTTCAACTTTGTATTTTTTCACCGAATGGCTGCCCATATCCAAGTGCACTTGCAGTATTTATTATTTGCACTCCCTTCTTTAAATTTTATAAGTATAGGACACGGTCGTTTGCATCCAGCAAAAACCATTGCTTATTCCATTGAAATGGTAACTGGTTGTCCTGGTAGCTCGGACACCAGGCTGTCAAGGTGTAACTGTACTATTACTGATGGTGTTATTCACTCAGTAACTGTACTAGCGCCACTGAGGTTGCTACTGTGGACTGTCTGGGTATTACTACTATGTATGTTCATTTTGTTACAGGTTCACCCCGATTATGTTTCTAGGTTTGTCAGCACCATACCTGTGCTGGTGGGTTTCACCGAAGTGGTAAACGTTAGGGACCTTCTGGCATTCCTCTCACTATTAGCTGACATGCCATGATATAACTGGAATACTTTTAAAAGCGGCGTTAAACCCAACTCACGCACTCATTTTGTTACAAGACATTTTGTTACCTGACATCTTGCAATATTTTATTTCAGATTAACTGGTTATTTGTGGAACACAATACTCAAATATCTCAAGGAAGGACTGTCCTGGTTACAATGCAAGGGAAATACGGGTTTTTATCTCCTATTGGTAAGATGAGCACAGATTCTGAGAACCTCGTGATTAATCCTGTTTTGTGTATTTAAAGCATTAATTTATTGTAAAGCGAGTTTATCTCTGCAGCTGTTGTAATATGCAGCTACTAGCCGACTTGTCTCGCATCAAAACACAGTTCTGTGTACTCACGTGCAGTTGACCACGGAGTATGCTGATCACTGTGTCGGATTAACAAGACTAATTCATTGCAAATTACGTGTGTCGGAGTCCGAGTGCAAGACCGTCGGATTAGTGGGTCGACATAGCACTGATTTATTCGGTTCCCATCATTAGTGTCTATTGTTGGATTAATGAGACTTGACTGTAGTCAGATTCATAAAAAGGACTCTGCTGTTATCAAAGATTTCTCATGATTATTGAAAGGGTTTAGTTGCGTATATTTCTCTAACTGTACCAGTATTCGTATATTTGAATTAGAGCTTCATCCAGTTTTCTTTTTCAATGAGAGACACAAAGCCTCTGAATGGTGTCAGTACAAAACAGAAACTGAGTGTTAATATTTCCAGACAATTCAGCAGCTCGGCAGTTGAATCTCCAGATAACAGATTTGAAGATAACAGACGCCGGCCAATATCGGTGTTACGTGAGTGGGACAACCAGTAAGGTGGCAGTGATTCAGAAACTTCAAGTGCAAGGTAAGGTTGCATCCCAGGAGCTGTTCTATCCATTATCTTATCCACCTGCATGCCGGTGTACAAGGCCATCTTAGCGCTAAGGAGATCGTAACTCTGACACTTTAACATAGCCTTACAACAGCTGTAGCGCTAGGGTTGTTTTGTACAACTACTCCCAGGACAATTTCAGTTACTATTTTCTTTTATCAAATTTATGTCACTCTCATGCTATTTTTCCTCCAGGCATTTAGGCACAGTAGTTTCTTGTAAAGTGTTATCAGTTAGATGTGTGATTATTGGTGCTCCGTCAGGGTTTTACAAGGTTTTTCAAGTTTCAAAGATTTGTTTCACTGGATATATTAGTGTGGAAATGAGATCTGTCAGGGTGTTTCTCAAAGTGAAATTAGACTTGAGTTATTTGTACACATTTATTGCTAACCATGGTGTAAGAAAAGTATATCCTTATTGTACAGGTCAACAGTATGTTGTGGTTATATCAATCATTTGTGTGCATCATTTACAGGTGCACCTTACCTGCCAAAAATCACTCCAGAGCCAGCAAACTTCACAGGTAACAATAGGAAATTTCTAAAGTGTATGCTTTCTGTACATGTTGAGTAGTGGGTATGGTTTCTTTTGGCCACTTTTAGCTATATACCAGCAATATCATGGCGGGGGGACACCAGAATTGGGCTTCACACATTGTTCCCATGTAGGGAATCGAACCCGGGTCTTCGGCGTGACGAGGGAATGCTTTGACCACTAGGCTACCCCACCGCCCCCTGTACAAGTTGAACAAAGTGAATAATTTATGATTATGAAAAAAAAACATGGTTTCCACACATTATGAATAAACAGGCCGTGGTGTTATCGAAACGTGTTCACTTACATTCACATGATGTGGATGTTGGAGTATGTCGCGATGCTTCACATCTTGTGCACTTTGTGCATCACCTTTGCATCTGCTTGGCGATGAAGTCGCTTTTAACCAACAAATCAAACCAAGGTCTGGCTCCATTGTCCAATGTCGTCTAAGTTGCCACAATTAGCTTTGAAGAGTTGCCTCACTCACTCACTCACTCACTCACTCACTCACTCACTCACTCACTCACTCACTCACTCACTCACTCACTCACTCACTCACTCACTCACTCACTCAGTATGGTTTTAAGCCGCATTTAGCAATATTCCAGCAATATCATGGCTGGGCACATCAGAAATAGGCTTTACACATTGTACCCGTGTGGGGAATCAAACCCGGGTCTTGGCGTGACAAGCGAATGCTTTAACCACTAGGCTATCCCACCGCCCCCACGCACTCAGACGTTGACTTCTTGGATGCACCCCACATGTGAGGCATGATGATGAGGTTAGAAATGAGGATCATGATAATGGAGTCGTGTGTTTTGTCTGTTACAGATTGTTGTGTCCAACAGAACGTGTCCGCGTCCTGCCTGCCCGCCTGCACACCTGGCGTTGTCAGTCAGGCCTCGTTGAACCCACTCCAGGCGTGTCCCCTTGACCTAAACAAGCTGCTACACTGCTTCTCCGGTAAGATGCTGTATTTGCTGATCTAATGTACTTCACTGAGTTTTGAAAAGTGATAGACTTGTCACAGAAGTCCTGAATTGTTTAAAACTTAATTCTATACTACTCAAAAGAAGTTGAAGGACACCTGATTCTTTCATGTTACTGTTGTTCAACTGTCATGTCTTGATAGACTTTAGTAATATGAAATAATCGGGTAAACGTGCATTGAGTAGTATATATTTAATCAAGGTAAATTCACCAAGAGGTGTATTCATTTGACTGAGGAGGGGGTTTCCCAGAACCAATGTGTATTGGTGGTTTATAAAGAAGGTCCCTGTGTTGGTCCACAACAACCTATGCTGGCTATATGAGGTGACCGATTGGATCAGGAGGTCAGACACACAACAGACCCATGCTTGCTGTAAAAGGTGACTATGATTGTCATAAGAGGCGACTAACAGGATCGGGTGTCAGGTTCGCTGACTTGTTTAATGAATGTCATCATATCCCAATTGCATGAATCGATGCTCATGATGTCAATCACTGGACTGTGTGGTCCAGACTCCATTATTTACAGACTGCTACCATATAGCTGGAATATTGCCCAGTGTGGCTTTAAACAACAAACAAACAAACAAACAAACAGACACACAACAGTGTGTGGGTAAGAGCCACTAGTCTACACAGACTGACATAGAAAGACATTATTAAGGGGTTTATCTGCTTATTGTTTGCTACTTTCTCCTTCAAAACATGCATCTAAAGTTGTATTTCTTTTTTTCATTCAGATTCGCGGAACCATGCCAGCTGCTGTCACCGTCGCCTCATCCCTGACATCTGCACTGACTTCTGCATGAACAACCCCCCTCCACTCACTGTCAGCCACCTGGTGTGCCTCAACATGACCACCGATATCATCTCTTGCTTTGAAGAAGGACAAGGTCAGGCCTATAGGTTGTGTGCTCCATATCGGTAGGGTAGCTCGATGGTGAATGTGTTAACTCCCCCCTATCTTTGTGTTCCCTGTGATGATATTGCGAGAATATTGCTGAAAGCGGTATTAAATCTCAATCCATCCATCGTAGATTCAAAATGGCCTCTACACTAGCCAATTGAATGTTTTGAAATGTTTAGATAATTTTCAAGATTACTCCAGTTATGACTTTAATTAACTCAAGATGGCTTGCTTTATGCTAGTGCTATCACACAGACAGTGATCTTTGTATGCATATTTTGAGATTAGCACTTGACAGAAATGTATTATGAATGCTAGGTTGTTTTTTTGTTGTTGTAAAGTTTTCACAGACCAACGACACTAATAAGCCCTAAATGACACACAACATTTAGAAAAGGATAATCAGTTTCATGTAAACAAGTCTGTTTATCAGAAGTCACAATGGGTGACACTTGTCTCCATAGAGTGTTTACAACCTCAGCCATGTTTAACTGTCGTAGCCTGACTCTCTTTCTTTCACTCACTAGTTGCGAAAACTAAATGAATGGTTACTAAGTTTCAGTTATTCAGACTGTGTATTCTCCCCTTAGTTTTGCTGCCTGGTCCACCAACAGAGGTCTCTGTGCTGTCACTTCCTATCAACATCATTCTGGTCAACTGGCATCCTACCACTAAAAACCCTTCTGTTGTGACAAACTACAGGGTGTCCTACAAGCTGACGTCGTCAGAGGTTTATATGTCAGTAAGTAGACGATTTAGTAGTCTGTTTAGAGATACTTTCCATCTGCTTCGTTACATCCAGAACTTGGCAGCAAAAGAATTTGGTCATAATCAGGTTGTTTATCATTACAATAATTAGACTGCCTCCGTGGTCTAGTGGTAGAGCCTCCGCTCGGAGAGCGGAAGGTCCGGAGTTTGATCCCCGGCCGCGTCATACCAAAAGACGTTAAAAGATGGTATTTGTTGTTACCCTGTCTGGCGCTCGTCATTAAGGGGCTTAAACAAGGACTGGTCGGCTTGGAGTCAGTATACTGTGACTGAGTGGGGTATTCATGTTAAACTGCGGCATGGTATCTCAGTGAGCTAGCACCATAAATCAGCATCAGTCTGGTCTAGTACAAGCAGCCACACACACACACACGTGCATGCACGTCACTATATAAGTGCAATAATCTTGGACATGACGTTAATGGACGCGACGTTAAACCCCATTATTAACCCCAAATTACAATAATTCTGAGGACAGCTAACTGAGCTGACCAGCAGTATGTGCAACTAGCAGGTAGCAGGAGTTGTGTGATCTACCGATCACTTCGCATTGGATTTCGCCAAAGTTATTTTAAACATTATCATAATTATTGATTGAAATTTTGAATAAAATGAATTAAATATATTGCAAACATTAGTCCAGATAACAATGAACACATTTTTTGCATACTTCAGTTTGGATTTGTTGACTGGTATTTCATGTTAAGCGATTGGGGTGATCAGCTGATAATGTTTTCTGAGATGGGGGAAAACATCGTGTCATTGGAAAATTTGAGTTAGTTAAAAATGTTAGTAAATTTTGGGAGCCCGGCTTTACCGCGCGCTATGACAGAGATAGCTCTATATTGAAGAGCGCAATTGCAGGGAACACATTATCATCATTGATGGGCCTGATAGCTGCCATTGGTCTGTTTTGCCTGCAGTTTGGACCTGTTCTGCAGATGTTACTGATGCAGTTGTCTGTATGTTGGCAACATGTGATCACTCCAGGATATCCACCGTGTGGCCAATCTTTGGTGTTGTTTGTGGTGCTGAAACCTTTCTCCATGTGACAAAGTAGACACAATTTATGGATAACAATTTCTGTAATACTTCTTTAATACTGTTGTTATCCATAAATTGTGTCTACTTTGTCATCCTTCAACTTCTAAGCAATGTCATGCTCTTTGTTTTTTGTTTGTTTGTTGATTAACACAGCATTCAGCAATATTCCAGCTATATGACGGCAGTAATTGAAATCATGGACATCGAGCCACGCAGTAGGGATACAATGACATGCATTATCGAAGTCTGCGAGCCTGACCACTCTATCCTATTAGTCGCCTCTTACGACAAGCATAGAGGCGCCTCTTACGACAAGCATAGAGGCGCCTCTTACGACAAGCATATAGGCGCCTCTTACGACAAGCATATAGGCGCCTCTTACGGCAAGAATGGGTTGCTGAAGATCTATTCTCACCCATATCTTCACCGGACCAATGTCATGCATTCAATAGGCCTGTACAGCATGCCCTGGTGCCAAACATTTCAACTCAAATCACAAACCATGTTTGTTATGTTATGACCTAATGTCATCTTTAGAAGACATAACATATCAAATAATATCAAAATGGCTACACTACATTTCATATTTATGAAATTTGCATGTTTCGTGGTGGTTCAGTGTTGTTGTTGTCATCATCATGATGATTATCACTATTATTATTAGTGTGGGGGCACGGTTGGCCCAGTCGTCTAAGGCGCCACGATTCGCTGTGCAGAGTTGCGTCCCTTGGGCACGCCAGAAACCTATGATTGTGGGTTCGAATCCCGGTTCGCCCCAATTATATTTCTAAGTTTGTCAGCACCATACCCGTGCTTGTGGGTTTCACCGAAGTGGTAAACGTCTGAGACCTGCATCACTTCGAGCTTTCCTCCCACATTAAGCTGACACGCCGCGATATAATTGGAATACTGTTAAAAGCGGCGTTAAACCCAACTCACTCACTATTATTGTTGTTGTTATTTCAGTCTGGGTTGATTTCTGCTAACGCCACCCAGTACACCCTGATGGGCCTGGAGGGGGACAAGGAGTATGTGATCTATGTGACAGCCATTGGTCAGTACGGGTCCAGTCAGCCCTCCGAGAGACATGTGACCACGACCAGCATGGGTGAGTCTCGTGTCAAGATGCTCATGAAGGATGACTGTCATTCTTACTGTCTGTACTGGTCAAACTGGTAATGATACTGTGGACGTTAGTTTATTTATTTTTTCGTTTTACACTCCCCGTTAAAACTAGATTTCAGAAAAACATAGTGCTGATCACTGCATGTGAGTATCTCTGCCTTCAAGAATGGTTTACATTGTGAAGCCCATTGATGCATGGAGAATCTCACCCATTTCAAATATATCAACACAAGTCAACAACAGTTGAAGACTCTGAGGCTTGTCGAGTAATGCTAAACCTTTGGTGATGATTGTTGTTGGGCTGGGACGAGTCCAAATTTACTACCCAGGTACCCACCCCCCTATTACCTGACCCTACCCGGATAACCACTGCAGATCTCAACAAATAGGTACAAAATGTCCGATTGGGAATAGTTGACCGTAGCACTGGACAAAATGTATTTAGATACACGTATAACATGATCTGGTCATGCATACACTGAAGTTGACTGAAGTTTTATCTTTATTGACATATAAAAGTCAGAAGGAATGGGTGCAACGTCAGAAAGAAATGCGAACATTAGTGACTTGTAGTGGAACAAATATAGTTCTAGATCATTTTTGTCATTAAACAATATATCACATGACAAACCATGGGTCCGGGTAGTCCTGGTGGTATCCGGGTCCTTCCCACTACCCACCGACCCGAGTACCCGAGTACCCGAGTTACCCGTCCCAGCCCTAGATTGTTGATATTTTTTGTGTCCTAAGGCACAAGGATGAGATTCTATTGATCAACTTTTTCAGTTTATAAACAGTAATGACCAGTGTCAGAAGAGAAAGTACAGCTAACCAGTTTCAGAGAGATTAGTGATGTCCATTGTGAGTGCTGTCATGGTAACCAATGACATCACAATGGTCTGCAAAACATTATGATGCAATCTCATTGCCGTGATCTTGTGTTGTGACACTACTAGCAAAATACAAATAATATCTCAACAAACATTCTCAGCTCATCAAAGGAACTGATGTCATCCATTTTGTCCCCTGTTGACAGGTACACCCACCACCAATCAGTCGGCTGATATCAATGGTAAGCATATAGTCAAAGTGGTTTATAGTGTTCAAGGCCCATATACAAGAGTTACGTTTGATGGTTTATTAATTAACAGGGACAATATTATTACAGTATATTTCTTGAAAATTAGACTCTGTAGGATGTACAAACAGTTGCAGCTGTTTACTTAGAATGATCACTGGATGGCATTAATAAAGCAGCCATTGATCATGTAAATAATAACGTCAAAGATTTACAATATCTGAACAACTGAATATTCATAGCAGTCTGGTTTCAGTAGGAATATCTCATAACCTCCAGAATCTGCGGATTGCCGTACACCTGACATGTAAACTGTCCCTGCACAGGTTTGATTGTTATATAAGCAAGCTTGTATCAAGACACTGCCACAGGAAATTCACTGTTATAGCAAAAATTCCTGCAACAATTTTTTTATTAAAATGTGGCCTTTGACCAACTGGTTTGAAATAGCATGAAATCCATGTTGTTGTTAGTGATGGGGTAGCTTTGTTCCAGCCTGTTGCCAGAATCGCGGTGTCTCGACGTACTGTCAGGTCAAACTCTGTCAGTCTTCCACCTGGCGCATGCTCAACCCAGACTCGCTCTCCCAGTGTTACTCCCAGCTTGACAACATCTTCCATTGTCTGGCAGGTAGGTCTGATGTCATCTTCCATTGTCTGGCAGGTAGGTCTGATGTCATCTTCCATTGTCTGGCAGGTAGGTCTGATGTCATCTTCCATTTTCTGGCAGGTAGGTCTGATGTCATCTTCCATTGTCTGGCAGGTAGGTCTGATGCCATCTTCCATTGTCTGGCAGGTAGGTCTGATGCCATCTTCCATTGTCTGGCAAGTAGGTCTGATGTCATCTTCCATTGTCTGGCAGGTAGGTCTGATGCCATCTTCCATTGTCTGGCAGGTAGGTCTGATGTCATCTTCCATTGTCTGGCAGGTAGGTCTGATGTCATCTTCCATTGTCTGGCAGGTAGGTCTGATGTCATCTTCCATTTTCTGGCAGGTAGGTCTGATGTCATCTTCCACAATCTAGCAGGTAGGTCTGATGTCATCTTCCATTGTCTGGCAGGTAGGTCTGATGCCATCTTCCATTGTCTGGCAGGTAGGTCTGATGCCATCTTCCATTGTCTGGCAGGTAGGTCTGATGTCATCTTCCATTGTCTGGCAGGTAGGTCTGATGCCATCTTCCATTGTCTGGCAGGTAGGTCTGATGTCATCTTCCATTGTCTGGCAGGTAGGTCTGATGTCATCTTCCATTGTCTGGCAAGTAGGTCTGATGTCATCTTCCATTTTCTGGCAGGTAGGTCTGATGTCATCTTCCATTGTCTAGCAGGTAGGTCTGATGTCATCTTCCATTGTCTGGCAGGTAGGTCTGATGCCATCTTCCATTGTCTAGCAGGTAGGTCTGATGTCATCTTCCATTGTCTGGCAGGTAGGTCTGATGTCATCTATCATTGTCTGGCAAGTAGGTCTGATGACATCATCCATTGTCTTGAAGGTAGGTCTGATGACATCGTCCATTCTCTGGCCGGTAGGTCTGATGTCATCTTTTGTTAAGCAGCAAGGTCTGATATAACATATATTGACTCTCTATCTGACATAGCACATTATCTATTGGTTCATTGGACCATAGAATTGTGCACTTGGTCATTGAGAACTGAAACCAACTTCACCAAAGTAACATTTCAATGCAAGACAAAATGAGTGTTACATTGTTTCTGTTTCAGGAGGACGTAACCACACCCCGTGTTGTATGAGTAACAAAGTCCCAGATGTGTGTCTTGGACTCTGCAGTGGGTCGCCCCCACCCCTCTCCTGGAACCACACCCATTGTGTCCTTCATATGCACATCATAAATGCCTGTGTACAGCAGGGATACAGTAAGTACCTCAACCCCTCATCCCCACCCCTCTCTCCCACCCCTCACCCCACCCCTGTCCCCCACCCCTCTCCTGGAACCACACCCATTGTGTCCTTCATATGCACATCATAAATGCCTGCGTACAGCAGGGATACAGTAAGTACCTCAACCCCTCATCCCCACCCCTCTCATCCATCCCTGTACCCCACCCCTGTCCCCCACCCCTCACCCCTGCCCATCACCCCTGCCCCTCATCCTCAGCGAATTCAGGGAAATGCACACGTCATAATAATTAAACTTGGTCAAGTTGATCCGTAGCAACATGCATCAAGTATTGATTACGAAGCAAAATACCAATCATAATATGTACTTTGCTGTAGGTAACTTGCCAAGTGCTCCCCGCTTCGTGGCTTTGAAGTCTGTGACAAGTTCCACTGCTGAAATAGAGTGGTCTGCCCCTTTAGGGTCGGCCGTTGTCAAGAATTACCTCGTCCAGACGAAAGAAATTGGAGTTGAAGCGGACTTTGGTCATACGGTGAGACTTTTGGTAATTTGGTGAGACTTTGGTCACATGATGAGACTTTGGTCACATGGTGAGACTTGGGTCACATGGTGAGACTTTGGTCTTTCAGTGAGACTTTGGTCATTTGGTGAGACTTTGGTCATTCGGTCATGCAAGTGACTTTGTTCGAAATATGCCTCTGTCCACCCAGCAGTGAGTGGGTGCCTTGCAATGTGGCTGTTAACCTTCTAGTGCCTCATAGGCAGCTTGTGTTGTATACTCCCCAGGGAGCTGAGAATGAAATAAGAGTGAACACTGATCCATTGACAGGTATAATAAGATTGCTTATCTGAAATGACATGATCAGTTTCTTGCTAAGTGTAATTTAAATAATCAAATGCTTCTTATCTCATTTTGAAAAGAATGGATGAAAAGTTAATTAAATATCACTTTGGCCTTATATTGAATATAAATATGAAAGTGATTTTGTTTCATTTTCTGTAAGACAGAGATGGGTCTGTATTGACCATGATGTCTCCACAGAGAGGAGGGAGGGAAGTGGGGTAGCCTAGTGGTTAAAGTGTTCACTCATCATGCCAAAGACCCGGGTACGAAGCCCATTGTTTCATTATCTGTAAGACAGAGATGGGTCTGTATTGACCATGATGTCTCCACAGAGAGGAGGGAGGGAAGTGGGGTAGCCTAGTGGTTAAAGTGTTCACTCATCATGCCAAAGACCCGGGGACGATTCCCAACATGGGTACAATGTGTGAAGCCCATTGACCATGATGTCTTCGCAGAGGAGGGAAGGAAGTGGGGTAGCCTAGTGGTTAAAGTGTTCACTCATCACGCCAAAGACGCGGGTACGATTCCCAACATGGGTACAATGTGTGAAGCCCATTTCTGGAGTCCTATGCGATGAGTTTGCTGGAATATTGCTCGAAGTGGCATAAAAGCTCCTTACTCACTCACTCACTCACTCACTCACTTTCCAGGAGGAGGTCATGCAGATGGTGGTGAAATTGACCAACCTTAAGGCAAACACAGAATATGCGGCCCGTGTCATCGCTGTTGGCGAAACTGACAGCAGTCTCCCATCAGAGACTGTTGTTTTCTTCACTTACTCAGGTAAGATCAGGAAACATGTGTCTTGTACCAGTATGTAGACATATCTCCAGCTATCCTCAGGCCTCTTTTTGTACTTACGTTTATACATTTTTTGTAAACATGAGTTAGTGATTAATACGAACAAAAACTATTTAACCTTTAGCCTGCTGAATTGTTTTCACACTTCTTAGCCCTGCCTGTTTTCTTTCAGAAAATTATCATGTATTAAACTATTAATTAATGTGTCCGTAAGGAGGTCATGCTCTCACTCACTTTGTGTTTTTCTTTCAGTTATCCCGCCACCTGATACAAGTGTAGCAACAATACACAATTTTTCTGGTAACAATATCAATTATTTAACATTCAATCATCCAATCAAACTTCCACAAAATTTAAACCTGTCATTGTAATTTTGGAAGAAATCATGAAAATATGAAAATTCAATGCATTTTTACAGTCAGTTATTATGAATTGTGTAAAGGTTAGAAGAAGAAAATCGTATGAAACTGTTTAGGATTAAATAATATGAGCAGTCTAATAAAATGGTCATGATTAAAAGATAGGACCTGATTTACTGTTAATGATTAAAAAAACAGAATATGTAAATTTTTTGTTGTTAGGAAGACAATTTGAAACTTTTTGTTGCTATAAGCGATATAAAACTTGTTCACCTGACATGTGGGCCACATCCAATATCTTTTCAGAAATGTACTCCTAGTGATATGATCACATTGTAATAAATTCCTTGAATTATATCTTTAAACAACGTGAACTTTCATCATGTCAGCCTGCTGCATCGACAACAACGTCCAGTCCAGCTGCCAGCCTGCTTGTACCTACGACACAAGATCTATCCTTGACTTCTATGGGCAGATAGACAAATCGATCGCATGTGTTGGGTCTCTGAAGTCCATTCTTACCTGTGCCTCAGGTAGGTTAAGTACCTGCAGGGTTCTGGGGGTAGATGCTACAATATGCTGAAGTCCATTCTTACCTGTGCCTCAGGTAGGTCAAGTACTTACAGGGTTCTGGGGGTAGATGCTACAATACGCTGAAGTCCATTCTTACCTGTGCCTCAGGTAGGTTAAGTACTTACAGGGTTCTGTGGGTAGATGCTACAATACGCTGAAGTCCATTCTTACCTGTGCCTCAGGTAGGTTTAGTACCTACAGGGTTCTGTGGGTAGATGCTACAATACGCTGAAGTTGCAATACCAAACATTTTGTAATCAACTCTTGACATTTAGTTTCCTGTTGGAAAACAGGTTCGAAACATTTTATTCACAAAATGTGGAGATTCACATTTTGTCGTTTACTGTATGCTTCTGGTGGAATAATTTGTCCTCCTCATCAACAAGACGTGTGTGGTGCCTAAGAAACTATGCATTGGAATTCCAGGATAGCAGGGGTGATGGCGTAACATTGTGGTTAAACACACCCATGCTTGGGTTTGATTCCCAACATGGGTACAATGTGTGAAGGCCGCTGTGATGTTGCTAGAACAAGTCCCCAGTAGTAAAGGATGGTTATGAAGAAGAGGACTAAGGTTGACACCGAGGTCTTGACTGAGAATGTAAGCCTGGAGAAGAGAGAAATTGGGGAGGGCTGAAGGCATGCCCCATTTCCTGCTTCCCCAGGTTTACGTCCACAGTTAACACCTCGGTGTCAATTTTAGTCCTCTTCTTCAAAACCATCTTTTACTACTGGGATCTCCTCCGTGGTCTAATGGTAGAGCGTCCGCCCGGAGAGCGGAAGGTCAGGGGTTCGATCCCTACCGCATCGTACCAAAAGACGTTAAAAGTTTTTACCCTGTCTGGCGCTTGGCATTAAGGGGCTAAAACAAGGACTGGTCGGCTCGGAGTCAGTATACTGTGTCTGAGTGGGGTATTCATGTTAAACTGTGGCATGGTATCTCAGTGTACTAGCACTATAAATCGGCATCAGTCTGGACTAGTACAAGCAGCCACACACACACATACATGTTCATGCACGTCGCTATATAAGTGCAATAATCTTGGACGCGACGTTAAACCCCATTTCATCTCACTACCTTTACTTCTGGGGACTTATTCTAGCAACATCACAGCTGCCTTCACACATTGGTTTATCAGTGGAAGGTCAATCCACTGAAATATTTAGGGGAGACATTTGTCATTTGATTTCACATTTCCCCATTTCGATTGTGATCAAGTGTAAAATAGACCTCTAGCAAAGGAAATTCTTTAGATGATCCCCAGGACAGAGGGACTTTCTGTAGAACATCCCCGGGACAGAGAGACTTACTGTAGAACATCCCCAGGACAGAGAGACTTACTATAGAACATCCCCAGGACAGAGAGACTTACTATAGAACATCCCCAGGACAGAGGGACTTACTGTAGAACATCCCCAGGACAGAGGGACTTTCTGTAGAACATCCCCGGGACAGAGAGACTTACTATAGAACATCCCCAGGACAGAGGGACTTACTATAGAACATCCCCAGGACAGAGAGACTTACTATAGAACACCCCCGGGACAGAGAGACTTACTATAGAACATCCCCAGGACAGAGAGACTTACTATAGAACATCCCCAGGACAGAGTGACTTACTATAGAACACCCCCGGGACAGAGAGACTTACTATAGAAGATCCCCAGGACAGAGAGACTTACTATAGAACATCCCCCGGACAGAGGGACTTACTATAGAACATCCCCGGGACAGAGAGACTTACTATAGAATATCCCCAGGACAGAGTGACTTTCTATAGAACATCCCCAGGACAGAGAGACTTTCTGTAGAACATCCCCTGGACAGAGGGACTTACTGTAGAACATCCCCAGGACAGAGGGACTTACTATAGGACATCCCCCGGACAGAGGGACTTACTATAGGACATCCCCAGGACAGAGAGACTTACTATAGAACATCCCCAGGACAGAGGGACTTACTATAGGACATCCCCAGGACAGAGAGACTTACTATAGGACATCCCCCGGACAGAGGGACTTACTGTAGAACATCCCCCGGACAGAGGGACTTACTGTAGAACATCCCCAGGACAGAGAGACTTACTATAGAACATCCCCAGGACAGAGGGACTTAGTATAGAACATCCCTGGGACAGAGGGACTTACTATAGAACATCCCCAGGACAGAGAGACTTACTATAGAACATCCCCAGGACAGAGGGACTTACTATAGAACATCCCCAGGACAGAGAGACTTACTATAGAACACCCCCGGGACAGAGAGACTTTCTGGAGATAATCACTGCTGAGAGGCTATGAAGGCAGGGTAGAACAATAGGATGAAGTAACTAGAGGTTTATAAGTGTGACTCAGCAGATTGTGTGTCATTATACTTGGGCAGCACGGATTGCTGCTGGTGACTTAAACAGCCTGACAATTGCCAAATACATATTTGTGTGTTTTGTGTGTAAAAACTGAATTAACTGGGAAAGCTGATCGTCTGTGGTCTTGTGGTAGAGCGTCTGCCTATAGTGCTGAAGGTCAGGGGTTCGATCCCCGGCTGCGTCATACCAAAACACTTCAAAAGATGTGACTTGTTGTTGCCCTGCCTGGCACTAGACATTAAGGGGATAGAACAAGGACTGGTCAGCTCGGAGTCAGTATGCTGTGTCTGAGCAGGGTATTCGTGTCAAAACGTGGCCTGATATCGCTTTGGGCTAGCACTATAAACTTGGCATTAGTCCGAACTAGTACAAGCAGACAGACACACACACACACACGATTGCACCTCCCTCAATTATTGTTACTGTTGCTTAATCCTTGTTATATCCTTGTTGTTTCATCCTTGTTATATCCTTGTTTAGTCCTTGATACATCCTTGTTGTTATATCCTTGTTGTTTCATCCCTGTTATATCCTTGTTGTTTCATCCTTGATATAACACTTGATTGTCAGGAGTGATGGGGTAGGCTCACTATGCCAAAGATCTGGGTTCTATTCAACAACACATCTGAAGCTAATTCTTGGTGAAAATCGCTGTGATGTAGCTGGAATATAGCTAAAAGCAGTGCAAAACTCACTCACTCACACACTTCTTATTGCCACTGAACCAATCAACCTACCCGTTATTACAGATATACCTCCTTTGAAACAATTGAGTCTATAACTTTGTATGCTTGACCAAAGCAATAGCGACATGAATGGCGAACTGTTTATTCTTACTGATGCCAAGGGGCGGTCGGGTAGCCTAGTGGTGAAAGCGTTCATTCGTCACGCCGAAGACCCGGGTTCGGATCCCGATAGAGGTACAATGTGTGAAGCCCATTTCTGGTGTCCCCCGCCGTGATATTGCTGGAATATTGCTAAAAGCGGCGTAAAACCAAACTCACTCACTCATTACTGATGCCAAAGTTTAAGTGAGCTACAGAGCTGTTAGTATTTTTCAGCCTTTTTCACAAAGGCTTACGTCTTGTTTAAGGACTGTTTATGAAGTTTGTCTTTGTCTGCTCCAGATGGTCGGGATCATGTGAACTGTTGTAAGCAGCGTTATGTGAGTGACGTGTGTCACATGTTCTGTAACTACACAGACTCCTCACCCCCACTGGACTTCAGCCACGTGACGTGTCTCGCCCAGATGGACCTCATCATCCAGTGTTACACAGAGGGAGTGTGTGAGTAGCTGCTTAATCAGAAAGGAAATGGGGCCTCATTTTTGGCAGTGACCCTGACACTAATTTTAGCTTTATCAAATATCTCAAATAACTTCAAACAAAAAAACAAGAAAAAGGTTAAAAATTCAAAACTAACTTCATAATGTATCTGGAATATTGCTGCTCTCAACAACAAAAACAACTTCAAATAACATACCCTGAGAACATAACACTTCCCATGTTATTTGCATCTAACAATTTGCTTACGACCGCCTCCGTGGTCTAGTGGTAGAGCATACCCCGGAGAGCGGAATGTCCAGGGTTCGATCCCTGGCCACGTCATCCCAAAAGACATTAAAAGATGGTATACTTGTTACCCTGTCTGGCACTTGGCATTAAGGGGCTAAAACAAGGACTGGTCGGCTCGAAGTCAGTATACTGTGTCTGAGTGGGGTATCTCAGTGAGATAAATCGGCATCAGTCCAGAGTAGTACAAGCAGCCACGGACACACACACGCATGTCGTATATAAGTGCAATAATCTTGGACGCAACCTCAAACCCAATTTCAAATAACCTCTTTAAGCTTACAATATGCCAACACATAACATGTGCATGCAGGGCATTGTTCTGCCAATCTGGCCTTGAGAACGGACCCAGGAGCCTGGCTTTGCTTGAAGTAAGATACAGGAGTCATTGGGGACAGACGTCCTTAATGGCTGATGAACAGTCAGACAATGCATCATGGACTCTAGAAACCCTGATCTACCCGTGGATTTGTTTGTGTTTAGACTAATGAATTGTTTTGTTGCTTAACGCTCAGCAATATTTTAGCTATAGGATGGCAGCCTAATTTCAATCATTAGACACTATTTGATGTGCAGAAAGACAAACTGGCCTTGTTTTGTCCTGGTTGACTGTGCCATCTGATTCCTGATGTTGCAGTGTACCTACCCAAGCATCCCGTCAAGGTGGAAGTTGTCAACAAAACCAAAAACACGGTGATTGTGGCTTGGGAGAGGGCGCAAACTGGACCCAGTGTGGACTACTACACCGTTGCCTACACACCAGACCTCCTCACTTGGACCAGGGTAAGTGTTCAGGGTTAACTCAGCTCATGGAAGTGTCTCCGAGTTAGTGTTCAAGGTTAACTCAGCTCATGTAAGTGTCTCTGTGTTAGTGTTTGGGGTTAACTCAGCTCATGTAAGTGTCTCCGAGTTAGTGTTTGGGGTTAACTCAGCTCATGGAAGTGTCTCCGTGTTAGTGTTTGGGGGTAACTCGGCTCATGGAAGTGTCTCCGTGTTAGTGTTTGGGGGTAACTCGGCTCATGGAAGTGTCTCCATGTTAGTGTTCAAGGTAAACTCAGCTTATGGAAGTGTCTCCGTGTTAGTGTTTTGGGGTTAACTCAGCTCATGGAAGTGTCTCCAAGTTAGTGTTCAAGGTTAACTCAGCTCATGGAAGTTTCTCCGAGTTAGTGTTCAAGGTTAACTCAGCTCATGGAAGTGTCTCCTTGTTAGTGTTCAAGGTAAACTCAGCTTATGGAAGTGTCTCCAAGTTAGTGTTTTGGGGTTAACTCAGCTCATGGAAGTGTCTCCGAGTTAGTGTTCAAGGTTAACTCAGCTCATGTAAGTGTCTCCAAGTTAGTGTTTAAGGTTAACTCAGCTCATGGGAGTGTCTTCGAGTTAGTGTTCAAGGTTAACTCAGCTCATGTAAGTGTCTCTGTGTTAGTGTTTAAGGTTAACTCAGCTCATGGGAGTGTCCTCGAGTTAGTGTTCAAGGTAAACTCAGCTCATGGAAGTGTCTCCGTGTTAGTGTTTGGGGTTAACTCGGCTCATGGAAGTGTCTCTGTGTTAGTGTTTGGGGTTAACTCAGCTTATGGAAGTGTCTCTGTGTTAGTGTTCGGGGGTAACTCAGCTCATGGAAGTGTCTCTGTGTTAGTGTTCGGGGGTAACTCAGCTCATGGAAGTGTCTCTGTGTTAGTGTTCGGGGGTAACTCAGCTCATGGAAGTGTCTCCATGTTTTTGTTCAAGGTTGACACATCTCTTTAAAGCAAATCGTAGAGGTCATTGTGTGTTGCTCTTTCCATGTGACATAAAGTAAAAACTTTCCCTTTCAGGAAAATGTTACATCCACTTCATATATCCTGCAAAACCTCGACCCTGGCACCATGTACACAATTGAGATTATCTCCGTAAATGACAACGGCACCAGCCCCCCCAGCAACAGGGTCAGCGTGTACACCGACACTGGAGGTAAGGAAAACACAGGAACTAAGCTATTACTTCAAGTCAACCGTAAGTTTGACCCATCAAAGTTCAACACAATGGTGTTTGACTGCAGAGGGAATACTACCGTAAGGTGTCTGAAAACAAAGGGGGCATCCTCATCTGGACCCGCCCTTGATGATTCCAGTGAGAAGGTCCAGGGAGCCAAATTTAGATAGTAAAATAGTCTTGAGAGCAGGGATTGCACCTCCTTCTTTGACCTGACTGATGTGATTTAGGTGGGTAGAGTGTGTGATGTGGCTGATTGGTCCAAGACGTGGATCTTTGTTCATACAGTCCAGCACTGGTTTGCCTGACTCAGACTTGATCTCTAAATGGGCAAATGGTCTAAGCCACTGCAATTTGCGGTGCAGAGTTTGATTCTGGAATTGCCCAGATTCATATTCATGCTCATGGATTTCACCTGACTATGATCCTAGGTCAGCCTACCTTTCGAATTCAGCACCACAAAATGTGTCCCCGTGGAGATTCCGGGCTTGACTTGCTCCACAGCAACATATCTTTGTCATAAGAGGTGACCAAATGGTTTGGGTAGTCAGACTTGGTGAGTGGTCAGGCTCGTGAGTGGTCAGGCTCGGAGAGTGGTCAGGCTCGGAGAGTGGTCTGGCTCGGAGAGTGGTTGATTGCGTCAAACCCCAATGATGTGATCTTTGTTCACTTGAAAATTTACACTCTGCTGTTACAGTTTGACTATTGATGATTGGAGCGTTAAACAACAAGCAGACAAACAAATCACTCTGGTGTTTTGATTCGCTCTTAGGTATAGAACTGGTTACTACAGGTGCTGTTTCATATTATTTATGGCATCCTGCTTTATGACTTTGTCAGCAGTTATAGCCCATGTTATATTGTGTGGAAGAAGATGTTGGTGTAGTTGTGTCTGAACATGCAAGTAATCCCAGCCTGTTTGTTTTGCAGCAGTGCTTCCTCCCCTGGTCATCAATGGTACTGTTGTTGACGGAAGAGTCATCTGGGCGGATAAATCAGGTAACATGTTCATTCTAAATGCGTCAAAATCCCAAATCTCAGTCATCAAAAGTGTAGAGACAAGTGAGCCAACACAAGTCTCTAGCAATGCACCCTAGAGGGGATTCCAGTATAGAACCTGGTCCCCAGTAACACAAGTCTCTAGCAATGCACCCTAGAGGGGATTCCAGTACAGAACCTGGTCCCCAGTAACACAAGTCTCTAGCAATGCACCCTAGAGGGGATTCCAGTATAGAACCTGGTCCCCAGTAACACAAGTCTCTAGCAATGCACCCTAGAGGGGATTCCAGTATAGAACCTGGTCCCCAGTAACACAAGTCTCTAGCAATGCACCCTAGAGGGGATTCCAGTATAGAACCTGGTCCCCAGTAACACAAGTCTCTAGCAATGCACCCTAGAGGGGATTCCAGTACAGAACCTGGTCCCCAGTAACACAAGTCTCTAGCAATGCACCCTAGAGGGGATTCCAGTACAGAACCTGGTCCCCAGTAACACAAGTCTCTAGCAATGCACCCTAGAGGGGATTCCAGTACAGAACCTGGTCCCCAGTAACACAAGTCTCTAGCAATGCACCCTAGAGGGGATTCCAGTATAGAACCTGGTCCCCAGTAACACAAGTCTCTAGCAATGCACCCTAGAGGGGATTCCAGTATAGAACCTGGTCCCCAGTAACACAAGTCTCTAGCAATGCACCCTAGAGGGGATTCCAGTATAGAACCTGGTCCCCAGTAACACAAGTCTCTAGCAATGCACCCTAGAGGGGATTCCAATATAGAACCGTGGTCCCCAGTAACCAATGCTTATCCTACTAGTTGATAGTTTGATAGTACCCTGACAGGGTGGATCACTGCTCTTAATACCAATCAGTTTGGTTCAGACTTTATTATTTTCAGGCTGCCAATATATAGCTGGAATATTGAGGCATGTGTGTGTTACCATCAAGCAAAACTCTTGAGGCCTGTGTCTGTTACCATCAAGCAATGATCTTGAGGCATGTGTCTGTTACCATCAAGCAATAATCTTGAGGCCTGTGTGTGTTACCATCAAGCAATAATCTTGCGGCATGTGTGTGTTACCATCAAGCAAAACTCTTGAGGCATGTGTGTGTTACCATCAAGCAATAATCTTGAGGCCTGTGTGTGTTACCATCAAGCAATAATCTTGAGGCCTGTGTGTGTTACCATCAAGCAATAATCTTGAGGCATGTATGTGTGTTACCATCAAGCAATGATCTTGAGGCATGTGTGTGTTACCATCAAGCAATAATCTTGAGGCATGTGTGTGTTACCATCAAGCAATAATCTTGAGGCATGTGTGTGTTACCATCAAGCAAAACTCTTGAGGCATGTGTGTGTTACCATCAAGCAAAACTCTTGAGGCCTGTGTGTGTTACCATCAAGCAATAATCTTGAGGCCTGTGTGTGTTACCATCAAGCAATAATCTTGAGGCATGTATGTGTTACCATCAAGCAATAATCTTGAGGCATGTGTGTGTTACCATCAAGCAATAATCTTGAGGCCTGTGTGTGTTACCATCAAGCAATAATCTTGAGGCATGTGTGTGTTACCATCAAGCAATAATCTTGAGGCATGTGTGTGTTACCATCAAGCAATAATCTTGAGGCCTGTGTGTGTTACCATTAAGCAATTATCTTGAGGCATGTGTGTGTTACCATCAAGCAATAATCTTGAGGCAAGTGTGTGTTACCATCAAGCAAAACTCTTGAGGCATGTGTGTGTTACCATCAAGCAAAACTCTTGAGGCATGTGTGTGTTACCATCAAGCAATAATCTTGAGGCCTGTGTGTGTTACCATCAAGCAATAATCTTGAGGCATGTATGTGTTACCATCAAGCAATGATCTTGGGGCATGTATGTGTTACCATCAAGCAATGATCTTGGGGCATGTATGTGTTAAAAGAACCATTAAGTAATAATCTAGTGGATATTTATTTTTCAGAGTGTTGTTTTAGGAACAACATATCGTCGTCTTGCACTGCTCTATGTACAGGCCAGGCCAATGACACGTATGAAATGTGTTTCGACGACATCGCCATCATACTTGCATGTGCCTCAGGTATGTAGTGATTGTATGTGCCTCACATATGTTCTGATTTCTTGTGCATCAGACATGTAATAAGTTTAATGTAACCATGGAGTTATATTTTTTATTGTCATTAAACAATATATCACGTCTCTAAGCACGAGTCCGGGTAGTCTGGTGGGTACACAGGTCCGACCCAGGACCCATCTGACCCGAGTTCCCGAGTTACCTATCCCAGGCCCTTTCATGCTCATTTTGTATCTTATGACAAAGGTTTTGAGTTTATATTTTATTTTCATTCAATTCAGTAGTGTTTTCACTCATCCACATGTCGGTTCCAGATGGCAGGGATCATCGGCCATGTTGTCAACAGATTGGGGTTCCATCAAGTTGTCTGTCCTTCTGTCAAGGTCATATCACCGGGAAGAACTTTGTGACTGCTGCATGCATTGCTTGGACAAACCACATTACAGGCTGTACCTTGGATGGAGCAAGTAAGAAATGTACCATCATGGGCTTGATTGTGCAAATTGAGAATTGAAATTCTTTGTAACATCTCATCAGGGGGTTGCAGGTGGCCCAGTGGTCTAATGTCTCTACGGTTCTCGTGGTTTCATCGTCCCATCGTGAGAGACTGCCTCCGTGGTCTAGTGGTAGAGCGTCCGCCCGGAAAGCGGAAGGTCCAGGGTTCAATCCCCGGCCGCGTCATACCAAAAGACGTTAAAAGATGGTACTTGTTGTTACCCTGTCTGGCGCTCGGCATTAAGGGGCTAAAACAAGGAGTGGTCGGCTCGGAGTCAGTATACTGTGTCTGAGTGGGGTATTCATGTTAAACTGCGGCATGGTATCTCACTGAGCTAGCACTATAAATTGGCATCAGTCCGGACTAGTACAAGCAGCCACACAAACACATACACGTACATGCACGTCGCTATATAAGTGCAATAATCTTGGACGCGATGTTAAACCCAATTTCACCTCACCTCTCCGTCCCTTGTGAGAGTTCTGTCACCTTGATTCCATGGATGTATCGTTGATCGTACCCATAGTCTTCACTCCCTAGGATCAGTGTAAAGTTTAAATATCTCCCCTGATTTTCCATAAAAACTCTGTTCAACTTTCTGTCACTATTTTATTATTTTATGAACTTTAACATTTACATACACAAACTTTGCAGGGGTGGTGCCATCGGAACCACAAAACATGACTGCTGAGCTTGTTTCTAGTGGAGTGATAAAGATAACGTGGAAGCCTGCAGCGCAGAACTGTGCCAACAACAGCTGCCGCTACAGCGTCCATTACTGGGAAGGTGATCCCTACAGGTGGGGTGGGCCGGGATCCACAAGCAAAGAGGTTGGTGTCGCTGTCATACATGTAACTCCCCTCAAACTGACCATCTCATTAATTATCCTCTCCGTTTGACACACCCACACACTCCCCACCCATCCACCTGCAAACCCACTCACTGACCCACCTCCAAACCCACACACTCCCCACCCATCCACCTGCAAACCCACTCACTGACTCACCTCCAAACCCACACACTCCCCACCCATCCACCTGCAAACCCACTCACTGACTCACCTCCAGAACACACTCATTCAGTTTCCCATCCTACATCCAAACATCCGCCTGCAAACCCACACACTCCCCACCCATCCACCTTGCAACCAACTCACTGACCCACCTCCAGAACACACTCATTCAGTTACCCATCCTACATCCAGACATCCACCTGCAAACCCACTCCCCACCCATCCACCTGCAAACCCACTCACTGACCCACCTCCTGAACACACGCGTTCAGTTACCCATCCTACACCCAAACATCCGCCTGCAAACCCACACACTCCCCATCCATCCACCTTGCAACCAACTCACTGAACCACCTCCAGAACACACTCATTCAGTTACCCATCCTACATCCAGACATCCACCTGCAAACCCACTCTCTCACTTATCCACTTCCCAACTCACTCATTTACCCACCCACCCACACACCCACCCACTCACTAACATTCAGTTACCCATCCTACATCCAAACATCCACCTGCAAACCCACTCTCTCACTTATCCACTTCCCAACTCACTCATTCACCCACCCACACACCCACACACCCACACACCCCACACACCCACCCACTCACTCACACACTCACACTCACTCACACAACCATCCGGACTGCCTTTTGGGGCAAGTGGATAGTGCTTCTGCCCGGCAAGTGGATAGAGCTTCTGCCCGGCAAGTAGATAGTGCTTCTGCCCGGCAAGTGGATAGAGCTTCTGCCCGGCAAGTGGATAGAGCTTCTGCCCGGCAAGTAGATAGAGCTTCTGCCCGGCAAGTCGATAGTGCTTCTGCCCGGCAAGTGGATAGTGCTTCTGTCCGGCAAGTGGATAGTGCTTCTGCACGGCAAGTGGATAGTGCTTCTGTCCGGCAAGTGGATAGTGCTTCTGCCCGGCAAGTGGATAGTGCTTCTGCCCGGCAAGTGGATAGTGCTTCTGCCCGGCAAGTGGATAGTGCTTCTGTCCGGCAAGTGGATAGTGCTCCCTGGCAAGTGGATAGTGCTTCTGCCCGGCAAGTGGATAGTGCTTCTGCCCAGCAAACAGATCAGTGATTCAGTCTTCAGATGGTGCTTGTTGTTCCTCTGCCTGTGGATAAACCAAGGTTTGGTTGTCATGTAGTCAGTAAGCTGTGTCTGAGTCGGGTATCCACGATTAACTACGGCATGATATCTCAGTGGGCTAACACTGTAAAAATGACTTTAGTCAAGACTAGTTCGCACACACACACACACACACACACACACACACACACACACACACACACACACACACACACACACACACACACACCACACACACACCACACACACACCACACACACACACACACACACACACACACACACACACACACACACACACACACACACACAGCACCTTGCTTATACGTTTTCCTGTAGATGAATGTTTCTCCATACAGGATTATTGTCATTAAAAGTGTATAAACCCCATTAATTATACTTTTGTGATAACCTATTTCAAGATGGGTGATAGATACAAATCTGTAGAAAAAAGTGTCAAGTTGGAACAGCACTGAACACGTTTGCAAGCTACTCCCTTCTTTCTTTCAATTGGACAGTGAGATTAGTACATTTACATTTGAAAAATGCTTATCCTAAACAACAGTTAAATATCTTGCAGCAGACAAGCATCCATCTTTGATATGTTTTCTCCTTCGTCCCCAGAATGTCCAGAGTCCCTACAACCTGAGGGGCCTGGAGACCAACAAGTTTTACCGTGTGTCAGTATCAGCACAGAACCAGTATGGCGCCAGTCGACTGGCCCCGCCTCAGACCGTCTTTACAAATGACTATGGTAATTGTTTGGTTTCTGGCACTGAGACTGATATAAGGTGCACATTGCTTCTATAGCGAAGTGTGAAGGTCTACAACATATGCATAAGTTACGTGTTGATTCCCAACTTGAAACACCAAGGTTAACTCAGAAGTCAGTACATACAGAACTTAATTGTCAAATCAGTAATAGACCACACAAAATCAATGAATTATTAACAGCAGAGCAACCCATGAAGATCTGGGGTAGAATAGGTCTTCAGCAACCCATGCTTGCTGTAAAAAGCGACTATGCTTGTCGTAAGGTTGACAAACGGGATCGGGTGGTCAGGCTCGCTGACTTGGTTGATGCTTGTCATCATATCCCAGTTGTGTAGATCAATGCTCATGATATCAATCACTGGATTGTCTTGTCCAGACTCGATTATTTCCAGACCGCCATCATATAGCTGCGATTTTGCTGAGTACGGCATTAAACAACAAACAAACAAACAAAACAGCAAAGCTGTCAACACCGGGATCATGCATGGATTATAAACACGACAGTCTATGAGTGTTTGATTTGCTGCCCCTAACTATCATCAGGAATAACACAAAGTATACTGCCACGTAACACATGATATTGTTATAAGGGTTATTGAAGTCCTGTTGTGTGGATTTGGCCATTGTGTAGTGACATATGTAAAGAGTTACCTGCCCTTGCTGTGTATGAAAGTCCAACTGGAATATGACACAGGTGGTTAACATAAACTGACTAGCAGTAACAATACCATGATCACATTAATATTTGTATAAATTTGTGTAACAAGTTACAACAGTAATTATGTACATCTCAAGGTTAATATGGAGATCCAGAGTAATGCTTAATAAAATAAAAGAATTGGTTCTCAGGCAATGGTTTTTGAAAATATAGTGTGGATGGGCGGGCGAGGGCGGGCGAGCGGGCGGTGTCTTTTTTTTTAAGTATTATTTTGTTCAAACTAGTATGTAACCAAATAAAGAGTTGTGTACAATCAACCTGGGAAAGGGCTCCTCTACATAAATATATTCCTTAATGAGTAAAATACTGGAATACAGTTTTGACTACCATTGGACTTGGAATATTTAAGAATGTTTGGTTTGTTTTTTAAAATGGAAATAAAAATGAAATGTGCCACAAACTTTATGATGATGCGGGCGGTGCCTAAGAACCAAGACTATTATTTTTTTTAGCCTAACCTATGATTGTCATCAATGGATCAGGTGGTCAGGCTTGGTCAGACTTGGTCAGGCTTGGTCAGGCTTGGTCAGACTTGGTCAGGCTTGGTCAGACTTGGTCAGGCTTGGTCAGACTTGGTCAGACTTCAGGATGACTGTTTGTCATCATACCCCAAGATCAAACATAAGTTTGTTTGGACTGGTAGCTGGTCACCAAATATAACAAAAAATTATGTTTCAAATGCAGGATGCACAATATTTTAACAGTAAAATGTACATGTATCTATAGCTGTCAGTGAAGATTTTGTTGTCAATAGAGTGTTGGAATGCAGTTGATGTGTTTGTGTCTGAAAGGTTCACAGTCCTGATTTGTTATGTTATGATTCTAAAATATCAAAGATAGAGCTGTTTGCGAAAGAAGATCAAATTCAAATTCTTTCTATTTTATTTTCTGATTATGACTTTCAAATCTGTAAACCAAATATACACTGTAGTGAAAGGTTTTCCCTGCTCGCTCAACATTTCAGGAATACAAGACATAAGCATCAGTGTGAGTCCTGATGGAGTTGTGGATGTGGGTGATCCCGTGAAGATGTTCTGTGATGTCATCGCTGACCCCACCGCAAACATCACCTGGACGAAGGACAGGAAGGTGGTTGGTACTGCAAGGAGGCTGGCTCTAAGATCCATCAAGGAAGCTGACAGTGGCTCGTATACATGCACCGCATCCAACAGGGCTGAATCAAAATCACTCACAGTTCACTTGTCCGTCAGATGTAAGTTGAAAACAGTTCAGAATTTTCACTTGTATTCACTTGTCCATCAGATGTAAGTTGAAAACAGTTCAGAGTTTTCACTTGTATTCACTTGTCCGTCAGATGTAAGTTGAAAACAGTTCAGAATTTTCACTTGTATTCACTTGTCCGTCAGATGTAAGTTGAAAACAGTTCAGAATTTTCACTTGTATTCACTTGTCCGTCAGATGTAAGTTGAAAACAGTTCAGAGTTTTCACTTGTATTCACTTGTCCGTCAGATGTAAGTTGAAAACAGTTCAGAGTTTTCACTTGTATTCACTTGTCCGTCAGATGTAAGTTGAAAACAGTTCAGAATTTTCACTTGTATTCACTTGTCTGCCAGAAGTAAGTTGGAAACAGCAAACAATGAATTTCCTTGATACAGTAGATAACTGAAAGCAGTTGAAAGAGTTTACCCGATTTAATGATTACAGTATGTTGGGTTTTTTTTCAGTTAAGCCCAAGGTTGTTGAAAACCGAGATGACACTGTGGCTCCAAAAGAGAATCTAACAGCAGTGATATCTTGTTGGTTTTCTGGCTTCCCTGATGTTAACAGCATAAAATGGAAGAAAAACAACAAGATCTTTAGAGCTTCTTTACCCAAGGTGAAGGCGTATAATGAAGTCAGAGGTCACACAGGAATAACAGTGGCACAGCTACGGATCAAGGACGTTGTTGGCGGAGACTATGGTGATTACATCTGCTCCGCAAGTAATAAGTATGGGTCTGCCACTGGAGCTGTGAAACTGATAGGTAAGCAAGCATCAACTCTGTTACAAAAACCAAAGTATTGGAGCACTTGTTGAGTCGTGGTAAGATGAATGTAGGATCAATTTGGGTTGTCACCATCATAGACGATAACTGACACAAAAAAGCATAACAGACATATTAAAGTTATGTTCGTGTAACAGGAAGTGTTAATAAGGGAGATAATTAAGGTATTTCATGTGCACCCAACGAGTAACAGAATATACAATAAAAGCCTGTTTTGATGCATAAAACTTTGTTTTTTCAAGTTTGGGAGAGGTTTACAATGGTGTATTGGAAGCTACCGTTCTTCAGTAATTGGTTAATGGCATTTGTGAACAAAATCACTCCTGCTTACTAAATTCAGTGTCACAAAAATAATAAGAGTTAGCTGTGACATAGCAAAGATTACAACCAGCCTTGTTACCAGACAACAATGAATAATGGCTAATTTGTTTTCAGATCCATTTGCTCCGACCCGTCTGCAACCGGCCAACAGAGTGACCAATGTCACAGGTCAGTAGTACACAGCCAGTCTGTAACGCCCCTATCTAACTGGTTGCCACTTTCAGGCGTCAATGTCTGGGGCTATGTATCACTTGATAGTCCTGCACCAGGACTGTGGAATTTATATTTTTTAGGAATTTTTTTTTACTAAAAGCGTAGGCAAGTCTAGATCAAACTAACCAAGTCTAGTTCGCTTAGAAGAGAAAAGGTTCTTTCAAAGAAGAAAAACTTAAATATTTTAATGACATGTTTTAACTGACTAAGTATTGGTCTAATCACTTGAATGTGACCTCCATAGACCAATGTGACTTCTCTGGAGGTTTCTTAGAAAGTGACAAAAATTGAACCCTTTACTTTTATGTTATTATGTGTGATATGTACATCAAGCAAGAGAATGTCTTAATCCCACATGATATAATTTAAACAACTGATGTTGTCAGAGTCTCTATATTTTACCCAAGTTTCTGATAAACAGGTAAATAATCTGTTGGATTGTTGCACTGAGAGCATTTTTTTAGATATTAAGAGTCACACTTTCATGGGCATTCCAGCTTGAGAACTTCGTATAATGTACATCAGAACATCACTAATGCAATAAACCAGGGCCTCGTTCCTCAAAGCAATCTTAGCGCGGCGATGATCGTAAGCCTATGTTAAAGTATGGGACTTACGATCACCTTAGTGCTAAGATCGCTTTGAGGAACGGGGCCCTGAAGTTGTTATCCACAAAATTGTATGTTTTTTTATCACTTTAATTGATACTAAATTTAAATTTGAAGAAATAATTAAGGGTTTATTATGGTTAAACTTAAATGACAAGCCAGTATTGGTTGTAGGGAACTAACTTTGTTTGTAATATTCATGGGGATGGTCACCATTGTTGCAATGTTTTATTCCGTCAGCTTGCTGTATACAGAAGAAGATTGACCCTGACTGCATGGTAGCATGTTCCTTTGACGTGGACATTGCCGCCATCATCAACAGACCAAACCTGTTCAAGTGTCTGAACTTTCTTCCCACTTTTGTACAGTGTGCAGCAGGTACGTCAACAAATGTCCCTTCCTAGTGCTGGAAGAGGCTCCTCATGGATCCTGGAGCGTGATAAGCCTTAGTGTTTCCTGCTTGTTGAATAGAGTGTCATTGTTTGTTTGTTTGTTGTTTAACATATTCCAGCTATGTGACGGCTGTCTGAAAACAATCAATTCTGGACAAGAGATTCCAGTGACTGACATCATGAGCATCCATCTACGCAATTGCGATGACATGCATCAGCCAAGTCAGCAAGCCTCTTACAAGGATGGGTTGCTGAAGACCAATTCTAACCCGGATCTTCACGGAGCTGTAGGGCTTGTACAATAAGAGAGATAGATGGTATTATATGTATGGATGGGTGACCATTACACTTGGAACTACTACTAAACAAACCCGTGAAGATCCGATAGAATAGGTCTTCAGCAACCAACTTGCCGTAAGAGGCGACTAACAGGATCGGGTGGTCAGGCTCGCTGACTTGGTTGATGCATGTCATCGTATCCCAATTGCGTGGGTCAATGCTCATGATGTCAATCACTGGATTGTCTTGTCCAGATTTGATCATTTTCACACCACCATTATATAGATTGAATTTTGCTGAGTGCGGCGTTAAACAAGAAAGAAAGAAACAAACAAACCAACAAACACCGAAACAAACTAAGAATTGATTTGAGCACTGTGTTTTTGTAAGCAGAGGTTCATTTGTCTACAGGCAACAACATTCATGGCTCATTGGTCAGTTTGCCATCTTTCGCCCCCCTGTTATCAACTGCATGGATTATGCAGATCAGTGGTGTCAATTGTAAAGTTGTGGTTTTTCTCCAGGTTGTTTAGCTGTAGTTGGCCCCTGTACACTGACAGTCCCCACACTATTGACCACAGGTTTATCGTTGGTTCCCTTCAACAATAATCTTAGAACTAGTGGGAATGGGTGGTCCTGTCATCTCAGGCACCACGATTTGATGTGCAGAGTTGTGTCCCTTAGGTGTGCCAGGAACATGATAATGGCTGGATTCTAATCCTGGTTCACCCCGACTGTTTCAAAATTTGTCAGCACCATACCTGTGCAAATGGGTTTTCCATGAGGCTTTGTCATCCAGCTGACACACCGTGATAAGTTTACACAATATACAGCTATTCCATTGGACAAGAGATTGGTCACATGACCGCAAAACTGATTTTCATAAGTGTATGAACGACACATTTGATGTTCATACATTTTTTCACAAGACTGCATTCTTGAAATGACGTAAATACTGACATTCCTGTGGAAACCCCTGGGAATTCCATAGCACGAATAAATACAGAAGCGTTGTTTCTCATCATTTAGACCCTTTAATCTTGAACTGCATTTTAGCATACATTGGGATAATTTGATTGCATGTCCGTTCAAGGATATCCTCCCTACAACCCATCCAAACTATCCTCGATACAACACATCCAAACTATCCTCCCTACAACCCATCCAAACTATCCTCCCTACAACCCATCCAAACTATCCTTGCTACAACACATCCAAACTATAGTAGTATTGACCTGATCCATGTCTGGACTACAGTAACAGTCTACAGCAATCTATGAATTTACCTTAGTATCTATTTTGCACATCTTTACAATCACCTTACAATGATCAACCAAATGATCAGTGATGACTAATACTTGTAATAGCCACAGGTTCATTAAAGTCTACGGAAATCCCTCCTGTCAGGTTTATCGTGTAGGCCATTTTGACGTCTTGTACTTGATGTAAATTTATTACGACATGCTGTCATTGTGACTGACTTACTGAGGTAGTTCTGAACACACCTTTCTCATCTATTATTAGTATTATTTGAAAACATTTGTAAGAACCTACAAAAGATGTTTCTGAAGAGCATGTTGAGGATACATAATCGGTCACTCATGTCTCTCTCGTTTTGAGGAACTATTTTATTCCTCGATACAGCTGGTCGTTGTATGGCTGTCATGTTTAAACATGAAGTCACACATACTAAATATAATTGTGTATAGAACAAGGTCTACATCCTTTGAGGTACAAATAGTGATATAAAAAATTATAAGATTTGAATTTCACTTTGTGTGAGTTCATTGGAGTATGAACCTTCTATGTACAATCATGCTCTAATGAACTCGCACAAAGTGAAAGTCAATTATGAACCTTTTATGAACCATCATGCTCTTATGAACTCGCACAAAGTGAAAGTCAATTATGAACCTTTTATGAACCATCATGCTCTTATGAACTCACACAAAGTGAAAGTCAATTATGAACCTTTTATGAACCATCATGCTCTGATGAACTCGCACAAAGTGAAAGTCAATTATGAACCTTTTTATGAACCATCATGCTCTTATGAACTCGCACAAAGTGAAAGTCAATTATGAACCTTCTATGAACCATCATGCTCTTATGAACTCACACAAAGTGAAAGTCAATTATGAACCCTCTATGAACCATCATGCTCTTATGAACTCACACAAAGTGAAAGTCAATTATGAACCTTCTATGAACCATCATGCTCTTATGAACTCACACAAAGTGAAAGTCAATTATGAACCCTCTATGAACCATCATGCTCTTATGAACTCACACAAAGTGAAAGTTAATTCTTAATTAAACCCAACTCGCTTATTAGAACTGTGTAATGCATCCATATTTTGTTTGTTTAACGCCGCACTCAACAATATTCCACCTATATGATGGCAGTCTGTAAATAATTGAGTCTAGACAATCAGACATTCAGACATTCCCGTGATTGACATCATGATCATAGATCCATGCAATTTGGATACAGTGACATTCATCCATCAATTTTAGCAAGCCTGACCACCCGATCACGTTAGTCGCCTCTTACGACAAGCATGCGTTGCTGAAGACCTGTTCTAATGACAGTGTGGCCGATTGAGCAGCCATGTTGTGCTGAATTGTGCTGAATTGTGCTGAATCTGCTGAGGTTCATGGGCAGCACTCACAGCACCAGGCTGGCTGTTTAAGGCAGGGCACAAGTGGCATTGTTGTTTAAGTCACTGCAGTTTACTGTGCAGATTTTGAAATCCAGAATTGCTCCGACCATGATTATAAGTTAGTCAGCACCCTACCCATGCTCGTATGTTTCCCCGAAGTGTAAAAGAGTGTTCGTCCGACATTTAGACGGTGCACCATGATTTAAGCCAAATTCTGTTCTTTGCGGTGTTCAACCCATTGCAATCACTGTCTTGTAAAAGTCTAGACAATTCCTATCTCCTGTGTTGTGTCTAGACAATTCCTATCTCCTGTGTTGTGTCTAGACAATTCCTATCTCCTGTGTTGTGTCTAGACAATTCCTATCCCCTGTGTTGTGTCTAGACAATTCCTATCTCCTGTATTGTGTCTAGACAATTCCCATCTCCTGTATTGTGTCTAGACAATTCCTATCTCCTGTATTGTGTCTAGACAATTCCCATCTCCTGTGTTGTGTCTAGACAATTCCTATCCCCTGTATTGTGTCTAGACAATTCCCATCTCCTGTGTTGTGTCTAGACAATTCCCATCTCCTGTGTTGTGTCTAGACAATTCCTATCTCCTGTGTTGTGTCTAGACAATTCCTATCTCCTGTGTTGTGTTTCAGATGGAAGTGATCATAGTCAGTGCTGTGAGAATGAGGGCGTGGCACCCTACTGTCTACCATTCTGTTCCGGCAATACTCCAGGGACTGGGAACCCTTTGAGTGATCCAAAAATGCTACAGTGTATTGACCACTCGGACAAGATCATTGGCTGTATGGAAGAAAACAAAAGTGAGTTTAACCTGGCTTTCCTCCAGTAGTGTGCTCTATGACATCCGGGAAACCCCAGCGTACACATTCTGCACTTCTCACCCTCATTAGAGTTGATCATGGCTTTCCTCCAGTAGTGTGCTCTATGACATCCGGGAAACCCCAGCATACACATTCTGCACTTCTCACCCTCATTAGAGTTGATCATGGCTTTCCTCCAGTAGTGTGCTCTGTGAGATCTGGGAAACCCCAGCATACACATTCTGCACTTCTCACCCTCATTAGAGTTGATCATGGCTTTCCTCCAGTAGTGTGCTCTGTGAGATCCGGGAAACCCCAGCGTACACATTCTGCACTTCTCGCTTCATACTCGACAAGATTTTAAGAACATGTGCTTGGGTTTTGGGGAAAACCCCATGGAAATCCAGGGATGAATATGCCCCCCATTAAATCATGTAAAGAGGGCTTTTGATTATGGATGTGTAAGCAGTGACTGGGACAATGTTTAGACAACTCTAAGCAGTGACTGGGACAATGTTTAGACAACTCTAAGTAGTGACTGGGACAGTGTTTAGACAACTCTAAGCAGTGACAGTGACTGGGACAGTGTTTAGACAACTCTAAGCAGTGACTGGGACAGTGTTTAGACAACTCTAAGCAGTGACAGTGACTGGGACAGTGTTTAGACAATTCTAAGCAGTGACTGGGACAATGTTTAGACAACTCTAAGTAGTGACTGGGACAGTGTTTAGACAACTCTAAGCAGTGACTGGGACAATGTTTAGACAACTCTAAGTAGTGACTGGGACAGTGTTTAGACAACTCTAAGCAGTGACAGTGACTGGGACAGTGTTTAGACAACTCTAAGCAGTGACTGGGACAGTGTTTAGACAACTCTAAGCAGTGACAGTGACTGGGACAGTGTTTAGACAACTCTAAGCAGTGACTGGGACAATGTTTAGACAACTCTAAGCAGTGACTGGGACAATGTTTAGACAACTCTAAGCAGTGACTGGGTCAATGTTTAGACAACTCTAAGCAGTGACTGGGACAATGTTTAGACAACTCTAAGCAGTGACTGGGACAATGTTTAGACAACTCTAAGCAGTGACTGGGGACAATGTTTAGACAACTCTAAGCAGTGACTGGGACAATGTTTAGACAACTCTAAGCAGTGACTGGGTCAATGATACGACAACTTTAAGCAGTGACTGGGGACAATGTTTAGACAACTCTAAGCAGTGACTGGGACAATGATACGACAACTTTAAGCAGTGACTGGGACAATGTTTAGACAACTCTAAGCAGTGACTGGGACAATGTTTAGACAACTCTAAGCAGTGACTGGGTCAATGATACGACAACTTTAAGCAGTGACTGGGACAATGTTTAGACAACTCTAAGCAGTGACTGGGACAATGTTTAGACAACTCTAAGCAGTGACTGGGATAATGTTTAGACAACTCTAAGCAGTTTCTGGGACAATGATACGACAACTCTAAGCAGTAAACTGGGACAATGTTTAGACAACTCTAAGCAGTGACTGGGACAATGTTTAGACAACTCTAAGTAGTGACTGGGACAATGTTTAGACAACTCTAAGCAGTGACTGGGACAATGTTTAGACAACTCTAAGCAGTGACTGGGACAATGTTTAGACAACTCTAAGCAGTGACTGGGACAATGTTTAGACAACTCTAAGCAGTGACTGGGACAATGTTTAGACAACTCTAAGCAGTGACTGGGACAATGTTTAGACAACTCTAAAGCAGTGACTGGGACAATGTTTAGACAACTCTAAAGCAGTGACTGGGACAATGTTTAGACAACTCTAAGTAGTGACTGGGACAGTGTTTAGACAACTCTAAGCAGTGACAGTGACTGGGACAGTGTTTAGACAACTCTAAGCAGTGACTGGGACAATGTTTAGACAACTCTAAGCAGTGACTGGGACAATGTTTAGACAACTCTAAGCAGTGACTGGGACAATGTTTAGACAACTCTAAGCAGTGACTGGGTCAATGATACGACAACTTTAAGCAGTGACTGGGACAATGTTTAGACAACTCTAAGCAGTGACTGGGACAATGATACGACAACTCTAAGCAGTGACTGGGACAATGTTTAGACAACTCTAAGCAGTGACTGGGACAATGTTTAGACAACTCTAAGCAGTGACTGGGACAATGTTTAGACAACTCTAAGCAGTGACTGGGACAATGTTTAGACAACTCTAAGCAGTAAACTGGGACAATGTTTAGACAACTCTAAGCAGTGACTGGGACAATGTTTAGACAACTCTAAGCAGTGACTGGGACAATGTTTAGACAACTCTAAGCAGTGACTGGGACAATGATACGACAACTCTAAGCAGTGACTGGGACAATGTTTAGACAACTCTAAGCAGTTTCTGGGACAATGTTTAGACAACTCTAAGCAGTGACTGGGACAATGTTTAGACAACTCTAAGCAGTGACTGGGACAATGTTTAGACAACTCTAAGCAGTGACTGGGACAATGTTTAGACAACTCTAAGCAGTGACTGGGACAATGTTTAGACAACTCTAAGCAGTGACTGGGACAATGTTTAGACAACTCTAGGTAGAGACTGGGACAATGTTTAGACAACTCTAAGCAGTGACTGGGGCAATGTTTAGACAACTCTAAGCAGTGACTGGGGCAATGTTTAGACAACTCTAAGCAGTGACTGGGACAAAGTGACTGGGAGAATGTTTAGACAACTCTAAGCAGTGACTGGGACAATGATACGACAACTCTAAGCAGTGACTGGGACAATGTTTAGACAACTCTAAGCAGTTTCTGGGACAATGTTTAGACAACTCTAAGCAGTGACTGGGACAATGTTTAGACAACTCTAAGCAGTGACTGGGACAATGTTTAGACAACTCTAAGCAGTGACTGGGACAATGTTTAGACAACTCTAAGCAGTGACTGGGACAATGATACGACAACTCTAAGCAGTGACTGGGACAATGTTTAGACAACTCTAAGCAGTTTCTGGGACAATGTTTAGACAACTCTAAGCAGTGACTGGGAGAATGTTTAGACAACTCTAAGCAGTGACTGGGACAATGTTTAGACAACTCTAAGCAGTGACTGGGACAATGTTTAGACAACTCTAGGTAGAGACTGGGACAATGTTTAGACAACTCTAAGCAGTGACTGGGGCAATGTTTAGACAACTCTAAGCAGTGACTGGGGCAATGTTTAGACAACTCTAAGCAGTGACTGGGACAAAGTGACTGGGAGAATGTTTAGACACTCACTCACTCACTCATAACACATTTTGATAGCTTATGATAGCTGATAGGTGCAAAATTAGAAACCATTCAATTAGAAATGATGAACGACTACTTAGTTGCTCGGTGAATATACAACAGGTAGTTCTCAAGCTTCCATTGTCCCCAGATAACCTCCCAGATGCCCCGGTGATGCATGCTAAGATCAAGGACAACAACATTGAAGTCAGTTGGGACAGACCAACGAAGAATGGCCAGAAAGTGAAGCAGTACCTGGTGCATGTACAGGAAGGGAGCGTCAAGAGGGAGCCACACATTGTGGTCAGTAGTCAGCATAAATTATACACATGTTCATCTGATTTAAATGTATGGAGATTCCAATGTATATTAAGGGTCCAGCGTTCAGGGGGACGTGAGGTTGGAAAATACGAACAGGGTCCAGTCTACTGAATAGATAGTAGAAGAGTCGGGGGACGTGAGGTTGGAAAACACATACAGGGTCCAGTCTACTGGATAGATAGTAGAAGAGTCAGGAAGAAGTGGGGTTGGAAAACACATACAGGGTCCAGTCTACTGGATAGATAGTAGAAGAGTCAGGAAGAAGTGGGGTTGGAAAACACATACAGGGTCCAGTCTACTGGATAGATAGTAGAAGAGTCAGGAAGAAGTGGGGCTGGAAAACACATACAGGGTCCAGTCTACTGGATAGATAGTAGAAGAGTCTGGGGAATGTGAGGTTGGAAAACACATACAGGGTCCAGTCTACTGGATAGATAGTAGAAGAGTCAGGAAGAAGTGGGGTTGGAAAACAGTGTTTCCAGTCAGTACAACTGGAGTATGATTCTAAATGTGATTAGTTTTTAGTATGGATGTATATTAATGTTTTGAAGCAATTTGATTTTATGGCAAGTGTTTCATCTACTGGTACTGTGATTTGTTTATGATTTTTTCATACCCTTTCAAATCACAGGTTGTCAACCATGGGTTCAAAGTTTTTGTAGAAAGAATATGTGGAAAAAAAATAAATAATGGCACAATAAATGTGTTAAAAAAAGGAATAAAAATCCTTTAAAATGCAACAGAATGGGCAAATAAGATTCACATTTCCAGAGATTCTTTGATCTAGTGATTTATATCATTGATAATTGATGGCCCAAGTATTCCAAGAGGAGTTTCCTGTAACACTGAATGGAGTGACTTGTTAAAGAAGTTTCCAGATGTGTAAAACTGCTTGGGTTTGCTTCCAGTCCAAGAACTTTTACACTTACACCGTGACCAACATCAAGGCCTACGTCAACTACACTGTGTGGGTCGTGGCATCCAATGACTTTGGTACAAGCCAAACATCGCAGATCAGAAACATATATGTGGGAGGTATGTCATCAGATGAACCCATATACCAGGCCCATTCTCTTTCTTGTTTTATGGGGCCGCTTGGGTAGCCAAGTGGTTAAAGTGGTCACTTGTCATGCCAAAGGCACAGGTTTGATTCCCCACATAGGTACAATGTCTGGTGTCCCTCAATGTGATATGCCTGGAATATTGGTAAAAGTGGTGCATTACACTTCTCAGAAAACTACTGGTCTTGCCTTATGATTAACAAATGGAGGCAGTTTGTTTTCAAGGTGTCAATCTCTCAATATTAGTGTTGATGGTTTTCGAGATAGTGTGTTATGAGGGTGTTAAATGTCCATATTGTTTTCTGTCAAAAGAAATGTTTGATGTGTTCACCTAGTTCCCAGGATGCCCAAGTTTTACCAGCATCCCAAATCAAGTGTCTCAGTTATTACAGTAATCAGTGAGATACAGAGGACATTTTTCTGAAAGATACGTTATGTGATTTCTTTGCAGGCCTGCCGCCCAATCGCCCATACGATCTCGAATTTGTCTCCTCAACGACCAGGCTGCAGTGGAAGGCTGCAAAAGATGGCCCAGCTCAGTCAGGATTTGTTGTGTTCTTCAAGAAAGAAACAGAATCCACTTATACTCAGGTAAACACCAGTGTCTAGAACAGGGCGTTACACCATTTAGAAATCTGCGTCCAGTATGTACAATTTATAGAATGGACGCAGAAAAAAAGATATTACATCCTGAGGGACGTACAATAATATTCATTGTACCAACTTCTTGTAAAGAAATATATAGTTTCTGTAATGAAAGTAATTATCAAACTTTACAGTACACTCCACTACACCATTTCATTACAACCCACTATATTACCGGTACAAACTGACCCATGAAGATCGGGGGTAGAATAGATCCTCAGCAACCCATGCTTGTTGTAAAAGGCGACTATGCTTATCATAAGAGGCGACTAATGGGATTGGGTGTTAACATCAGGTACAGTGTGTAACCATAGGGTACATTGTTACCATCAGGTACAGTGTGTAACATAGGGTACAATGTTACCATCAGGTACTGTGTGTAACCATAGGGTACATTGTTACCATCAGGTACAGTGTGTAACATAGGGTACAATGTTACCATCAGGTACTGTGTGTAACCATAGGGTACATTGTTACCATCAGGTACGGTGTGTAACTTAGGGTACAATGTTACCATCAGGTACAGTGTGTAACATAGGGTACACTGTTACCATCAGGTACAGTGTGTGACATAGGGTACAATGTTACCATCAGGTACGGTGTGTAACATAGGGTACAATGTTACCATCAGGTACAGTGTGTAACCATAGGGTACAATGTTACCATCAGGTACAGTCCGTAACTTAGGGTACAATGTTACCATCAGGTACAATGTGTAACCATAGGGTACAATGTTACCATCAGGTACAGTGTGTAACCATAGGGTACAATGTTACCATCAGGTACAGTGTGTAACCATAGGGTACACTGTTACCATCAGGTACAGTGTGTAAGATAGGGTACAATGTTACCATCAGGTACTGTGTGTAACATAGGGTACACTGTTACCATCAGGTACGGTGTGTAACCATAGGGTACATTGTTACCATCAGGTACGGTGTGTAACATAGGATACAATGTTACCATCAGGTACAGTGTGTAACCATAGGGTACAATGTTACCATCAGGTACGGTGTGTAACTTAGGGTACAATGTTACCATCAGGTACAATGTGTAACCATAGGGTACAATGTTACCATCAGGTACAGTGTGTAACCATAGGGTACAATGTTACCATCAGGTACAGTGTGTAACCATAGGGTACAATGTTACCATCAGGTACAGTGTGTAACATAGGGTACAATGTTACCATCAGGTACGGTGTGTAACATAGGGTACATTGTTACCATCAGGTACAGTGTGTAACATAGGGTACAATGTTACCATCAGGTACAATGTGTAACCATAGGGTACATTGTTACCATCAGGTTCAGTGTGTAACAAAGTTACAATGTTACCATCAGGTACAGTGTGTAACTTAGGGTACAATGTTACCATCAGGTACAGTGTGTAACCATAGGGTACAATGTTACCATCAGGTACAGTGTGTAACCATAGGGTACATTGTTACCATCAGGTACAGTGTGTAACTTAGGGTACAATGTTACCCTCAGGTACATTGTGTAACCATAGGATACAATGTTACCATCAGGTAAAAAGTGTAACATAGGGTACAATGTTACCACCAGGTACAGTGTGTAACATAGGGTACAATGTTTCCATCAGGTACAATGTGTAACCATAGGGTACAATGTTACCATCAGGTACAGTGTGTAACATAGGGTACAATGTTACCATCAGGTACAGTGTGTAACCATAGGGTACAATGTTACTATCAGGTACAGAGTGTAAACAAACAAACCGGTACAAACTGTATCCAACTCTATTACTGGTTCAAACTTGCTCCAACTCTATTGGTTGATGCATGTCATCGATCCCAATTGCGTGGATCGATGCTCATGACATTAATCACTGGATTGTCTGGTCCAGACTCGATTATTTACAGACCGCCGTCATATAGCTGGAATATTGCTGAGTGCGGCGTTAAACAACAAACCAACCAACCAAATCTAAAAAAACATGACCAAAGCCAGGTATTCTATGCAGCTCATGGGTTGTCGACTTCGCTGGGTGGAGCTCTGTTCTTTTTGGTTTGAAAATTGCATCATGGATGAGCTAAAGGTCACACTCGGAAATTATTACATGCATGATTTAAAGCCACCCAGAGCCTTCGACGTACTGGCCCTTTAGGGATCTACAAAGATTTGTTGGGAAGGAAATGAAGTTCATTGTTTTAGTACTTTTGAGATGAAACATATTGACGGCTCTGTCCACAATAACTCTTTCTGTTCGGGTGTTAGGTAGCCTAATGCTTGAAGTCATTCGCTTGTTGTGCTGAAAAAAACACAGTTAATCTCCCAAATGGGTTCAGTGTTTTGGTGCGCTTTCAGGATTATCCATGATGTTGCTGGAAGATTGACTCATTTACTCAGTTTCTTCTTACAGATCCATACCAACAACCTAAATGTCCCTTTCGAGCAGCAACTGGACCTCAACACAGACTATGAGGCATATGTGAAGGCACGGAATCCAGCTGGTTACAGCAGTGTTTCAAATACTGTCAGGTTTAACATTGGAGGTGAGATTGGAGACACTCTGGAAATTATCAGTGGGATTTTTTTTGAGGATTGACTATGGACAGATCTGAAGCAATCTATCTGACACCCTACACACATACTACAAACAGACCTTCAGTGCAGCCTACAAACACAATTACACCAGACTTTTTTATTAGCTCACCTGACTGAAAGTTTTGTGAGCTGATATTATGGTCTGTTTGTCCGTCGTCCGTCATGTGTCGTAACATCTTAACCTCTGAAACCACTTGACTAATGAAGCTGAAACTTCACATCCCTGTTTCCGACAAGAATGATACCCTGATTTGTTCAATAGGTCCAAATCAGATTTTCAATATGGCCGCCATAGCAATCATTTGAAAAACTATTTATGGCCATTACTTAGACGTACATGTGTGGTGGACTTAACATATATATGCCCTTTTTTGTGATATCTTAACATGATTTGACCTCCTCATTGCTGAAACGTCTTAAGGCCATTACTCAACCTTACTTGGTATGAACTTTGGTATGTGTGTAATTAGTAGTAGTGCTCAACACATATATTCCCTTTTGCACAATATTAAATTTGACCTTTTTTTGTACCTTTGCACTTCGACTTCAATAATATTGAAAACCTATTTATGGCCATTACTTGGCCGTTGTTTTTTAAAATGGAATGAAATTTGATACACCTCCAGAAGGGAGCGGGGCTCAACATGTATGTTCAGGTTCTTGGGATACTTTTACATTTTGACCTTGACTTGACCTTTCCACTTTGACCATGCTGAAATTTTAAACTGTTGACTGCATATCCAGTCTCATATATACAGTGCTCATGGCACTATTTTTTCTTGGTTCACAGATATTATTTGTGAAAAATTCTGGTTGGTAGGTGGGAAAAAATTATAAAATTATCCCCCTTGTGACCCCTTTTCTGTCTTCCTTGGACCCCTTTACTATGTCCCCTTGGGCTCCCTTTACTCTGTCCCCTTGGGCTCCCTTTATTCTGTCCCCTTGGGCTCTCTTAACTCTGTCCCCTTGGGCTCCCTTTACTCTATCCCCTTGGGCTCCCTTAACTCTGTCCCCTTGGGCTCCCTTTACTCTGTCCCCTTGGGTTCCCTTTACTCTGTCCCCTTGGGCTCCCTTTATTCTGTCCCCTTGGGCTCCCTTTACTCTGTCCCCTTGGGCTCCCTTTACTATGTTCCCTTGGGCTCCCTTTACTCTGTCCCCTTGGGCTCCCTTTACTCTGTCCCCTTGGGCTCCCTTTAATCTGTCCCCTTGGGCTCCCTTTATTCTGTCCCCTTGGGCTCCCTTTACTCTGTCCCCTTGGGCTCCCTTTACTATGTTCCCTTGGGCTCCCTTTATTCTGTCCCCTTGGGCTCCCTTTAATCTGTTCCCTTGGGCTCCCTTTACTCTGTCCCCTTGGGCTCCCTTTACTCTGTCCCCTTGGGCTCCCTTTACTCTGTCCCCTTGGGCTCCCTTTATTCTGTCCCCATGGGCTCCCTTTACTCTGTCCCCTTGGGCTCCCTTTACTATGTTCCCTTGGGCTCCCTTTATTCTGTCCCCTTGGGCTCCCTTTACCCTGTCCCCTTGGGCTCCCTTTACTCTATCCCCTTGGGCTCCCTTTACTCTGTCCCCTTGGGCTCCCTTTATTCTGTCCCCTTGGGCTCCCTTTATTCTGTCCCCTTGGGCTCCCTTTACTCTGTCCCCTTGGGCTCCCTTAACTATGTTCCCTTGGGCTCCCTTTACTCTGTCCCCTTGGGCTCCCTTTACTATGTCCCCTTGGGCTCCCTTTACTCTGTCCCCTTAGGTCACTGTACTATGTTCCCTAGGGCTCCCTTTACTCTGTCCCCTTGGGCTCCCTTTACTATGTCCCCTTGGGCTCCCTTTACTATGTTTCCTTAGGCTCCCTTTACTATGTTCCCTGGGGCTCCCTTTACTCTGTCCCCTTGGGCTCCCTTTACTATGTCCCCTTGGGCTCCCTTTACTATGTTTCCTTGGGCTCCCTTTACTATGTTCCCTGGGGCTCCCTTTACTCTGTCCCCTTGGGCTCCCTTTACTATGTCCCCTTGGGCTCCCTTTACTATGTCCCTTAGGGCTCCCTTTACTCTGTCCCCTTGGGCTCCCTTTACTCTGTCCCCTTTGGCTCCCTTTACTATGTTCCCTAGGGCTCCCTTTACTCTGTCCCCTTGGGCTCCCTTTACTATGTCCCCTTGGGCTCCCTTTACTAAGTTCCCTTGGGCTCCCTTTACTATGTTCCCTTGGGGTCCCTTTACTATGTCCCCTTGGGCTCCCTTTACTCTGTCCCCTTAGGTCCCTTTACTATGTTCCCTAGGGCTCCCTTTACTCTGTCCCCTTGGGCTCCCTTTACTCTGTCCCCTTGGGCTCCATTTACTATGTCCCCTTGGGCTCCCTTTACTATGTCCCCTTGGGCTCCATTTACTCTGTTCCCTAGGGCTCCCTTTACTCTGTCCCCTTGGGCTCCCTTTACTCTGTCCCCTTGGGCTCCCTTTACTCTGTCCCCTTGGGCTCCCTTTACTATGTCCCCTTGGGCTCCATTTACTCTGTCCCCTTGGGCTCCCTTTACTCTGTCCCCTTGGGCTCCCTTTACTCTGTCCCCTTGGGCTCCCTTTACTATGTCCCCTTGGGCTCCCTTTACTATGTTTTCTTGGGCTCCCTTTACTATGTTCCCTAGGGCCCCCTTTACGCTGTCCCCTTGGGCTCCCTTTACTATGTCCCCTTGGGCTCCATTTACTATGTTCCCTTGGGCTCCCTTAACTCTGTCCCCTTGGTCTCCCTTTACTATGTCCCCTTGGGCTCCCTTTACTATGTTCCCTTGGGCTCCCTTTACTATGTTCCCTAGGGCCCCCTTTACTCTGTCCCCTTGGGCTCCCTTTACTATGTCCCCTTGGGCTCCATTTACTCTGTCCCCTTGGGCTCCCTTTACTCTGTCCCCTTGGGCTCCCTTTACTCTGTCCCCTTGGGCTCCCTTTACTATGTTTTCTTGGGCTCCCTTTACTATGTTCCCTAGGGCCCCCTTTACGCTGTCCCCTTGGGCTCCCTTTACTATGTCCCCTTGGGCTCCATTTACTATGTTCCCTTGGGCTCCCTTAACTCTGTCCCCTTGGGCTCCCTTTACTATGTCCCCTTGGGCTCCCTTTACTATGTTCCCTTGGGCTCCCTTTACTATGTTCCCTTGGGCTCCCTTAACTCTGTCCCCTTGGGCTCCCTTTACTATGTCCCCTTGGGCTCCCTTTACTATGTTCCCTTGGGCTCCCTTTACTATGTTCCCTAGGGCCCCCTTTACTCTGTCCCCTTGGGCTCCCTTTACTCTGTCCCCTTTGGCTCCCTTTACTATGTTCCCTAGGGCTCCCTTTACTCTGTCCCCTTGGGCTCCCTTTACTATGTCCCCTTGGGCTCCCTTTACTATGTCCCCTTGGGCTCCATTTACTATGTTCCCTTGGGCTCCCTTTACTCTGTCCCCTTGGGCTCCATTTACTATGTTGGTTTGGGTCCCTTTACCTTTACTATGTTCTCTTGGGTCCCTTTATTATGTCCCCTTAGGCTCCCTTTACTTTGTTTTCTTGGGCTCCCTTTACTATGTAACAACTTTATGGTCTGACATAATGCTGATGAGGTTTGTTTACAGGATCCGCTGACGTCTCCCCACTCACGAAAACGTCCGGTCCTTCTGGGGCGCAAGTTGGGTTGGGCGTTGGACTCACCATCGTCGTCATAGCAATCATCATTGTTGTGCTGCTCATCGTTTATTTGAAGTAAGTAATTGATGAAGATAATGCTTCTCTCTTCTTTAAGTTCCTAATCACTTCTAAATATATATCATATTCAGCTTGTTTGAGTCAGAGATGGAAGGCAATGGAATTAAACAAAAATAGCATGCGAGCACATTGTGTTCAATCAATTGCCTGATGAAACTGGTTGCAAAAAGACTAAGAATATAGTGTATGGATTTTGGATGGATTCTGACCTCAAAAAATAAGTATAGATCCTGACCAAGAGAAATACAGTATAGATTCTGACCAAGAGAAATACAGTATAGATCCTGACCAAGAGAAATACAGTATAGATTCTGACCAAGAGAAATACAGTATAGATTCTGACCAAGAGAAATACAGTATAGATTCTGACCAAGAGAAATACAGTATAGATCCTGACCAAGAGAAATACAGTATAGATTCCGACCATGAGAAATACAGTATAGATTCTGACCATGAGAAATACAGTATAGATTCTGACCAAGAGAAATACAGTATAGATTCTGACCAAGAGAAATACAGTATAGATTCTGACCATGAGAAATACAGTATATATTCTGACCAAGAGAAATACAGTATAGATTCTGACCATGAGAAATACAGTATAGATTCTGACCATGAGAAATACAGTATAGATTCTGACCAAGAGAAATACAGTATAGATTCTGACCAAGAGAAATCGGTATAGATCCTGACCATGAGAAATACAGTATATATTCTGACCAAGAGAAATACAGTATAGATTCTGACCATGAGAAATACAGTAAAGATTCTGACCATGAGAAATACAGTATAGATCCTGACCAAGAGAAATACAGTAAAGATTCTGACCATGAGAAATACAGTATAGATCCTGACCATGAGAAATACAATATAGATTCTGACCATGAGAAATACAGTATAGATTCTGACCAAGAGAAATACAGTATAGATTCTGACCAAGAGAAATACAGTATAGATTCTGACCAAGAGAAATACAGTATAGATTCTGACCAAGAGAAATACAGTATAGATTCTGACCAAGAGAAATACAGTATAGATCCTGACCAAGAGAAATACAGTATAGATCCTGACCAAGAGAAATACAGTATAGATCCTGACCAAGAGAAATACAGTACAGATCCTGACCAAGAGAAATACAGTATAGATTCTGACCAAGAGAAATACAGTATAGATCCTGACCAAGAGAAATACAGTATAGATCCTGACCAAGAGAAATACAGTATAGATCCTGACCAAGAGAAATACAGTACAGATCCTGACCAAGAGAAATACAGTATAGATTCTGACCAAGAGAAATACAGTATAGATCCTGACCAAGAGAAATACAGTATAGATTCTGACCAAGAGAAATACAGTATAGATCCTGACCAAGAGAAATACAGTATAGATTCTGACCATGAGAAATACAGTATAGATTCTGACCATGAGAAATACAGTTTAGATTCTGACCATGAGAAATACAGTATATATTCTGACCATGAGAAATACAGTATATATTCTGACCATGAGAAATACAGTATAGATTCTGACCATCAGAAATACAGTATAGATTCTGACTAAGAGAAATACAGTATAGATTCTGACCAAGAGAAATACAGTATAGATCCTGACCATGAGAAATACAGTATAGATTCTGACCATGAGAAATACAGTATAGATTCTGACCAAGAGAAATACAGTATAGATTCTGACCAAAGACCGATGATGTGTGGTATATTTATAAGCACCTTCATTTGTTGTTGGAGCTGCTGATTCTTTATGTTTGTCACAATAAATTGTGTGGATGCAAAACATGAACCATCTTCTCGAGGCAAGAGAGTTAACTGACTTTAAAAGTCCAGTTTCCACCCTTGCCGAACTAGGCTGGAATTTCTGGGCTCGACTGTAGCGCCACCAGTGGCTATTACGAGTTATGTCCCTTCTAAGCCTCTCCTATGGACTAATCAGATTCCACCTCTCGTATCACTTGCATTTGCTTCAAACAAAACAGCTGTGCCTAGTCAAGACAATCTGATCAATAATCAAGGTCTATTTCATGATAAAACGGGTCTTACATCCCGAAATGCATCAAATCATGTGAGAAACTTGATCAAAAACATGAAAAGATTTGGGAAATATTTGTTGACAATGAGTTGGCGGTGCACATGCTTTGCAAATCCTGCAATCGACCGAAATCTGCACGACAGTTTACGAACCGGATTTCTATTTCGTTGCGCGATTTTGATTGGACTATGCATAGACTCAATAGTCCAGCCAAAAAGTAACTCCATAATACCAGCCTAGTTCAGCAAGGGTGGAAACTGGACTGTTATAGTCAGTTCACTCACTTGCTTCGGGAAGATGAACATCAACATGAGAAAATATAGTTAACATATTGTAAGATGTATGCTGATAATTATTGTGTTTTCGTCTTGGACTGGATGCAAACAAGTTGCTATTTTGTTTATATTTCAGGTTGCGCCAAAACAAGAACAATGCAGCAGCAGAGGCTGTGACATTTGAGAATCCATCCTACGGACGCAGCCAGATACAGGTGAGAGTACCACAGTCTCTCATCAACGTTCCCAAACACTAACAAGAAGTACCAGATATAAAGTTTATATGTATAAAGTTAACTGAAAATAATTCTATAAAGGAACCCACAAGTCTCTTATTTTCAAAGACCAAACAAATCTGCCAGGCTTAACATAGTGTTCTCAAATGTAAGAAAGATATGATACTTATAATACCTCAAATATATATGCTTGTAGATATCCGGTCTGCCTGCAGAGGTAATGCAGCCATCCAACCAGTTTTCCTACGGGCGTCTAGACGAGGACTACACAAATACAGAGAAAGTTGTTCAAATGGAGAACCCATATTCAAGTCTGGACCAAGATGGCCGCCCAGAGGTGAACGGCAACAATCCGGCCACCCTTCCTGTTACAACTGATGAAATACAAATACAGACACCTAGCAAAACTGAATCATCAACATGAGAACATTTGATTGGCTATGCATGGATGTTGACTGATTGCGTGGTGTGAGTTGACATCTTCCATACACTCTAGAAGATGAAGCTGTTTGTGACAAATTTTATTGAATGACTGAGAAATGTTTTTACATTCTATTGAAATTTTAGCACATAATTATTTTTGTTTACAGTTCTTGAAGATTCTGTATCTAGAATGTTCAAATTTGCTTTTGATGGAACATTCTTCTTGTAGAGGAATAACAAAAAGGACAAATCAAGTGCTACCATGTATAAATATTGGCAAATGATCAAATAGCAATATTGCTGTATAGTTTGTATTTTGATGACAGCATCTCTTTGTGTTTACAATCATAAGCTCATCTTCATGTATGTCTGCACATATTTTGCAAAATATTTTTACCTGGTTTATGACCTCCCCAAATGACGATGTCTTGCATGACTTAAAGAACATTCCAAACTCAGATGGAAATATTTATACACAAGACGAATTTAAAATGGGGGATATATGGTATTGGCAGGTTCTACACACAAAAAACGTTTTGTGCTCCTGTTCATGAATTAATAAAAGTTTTATATAGAAAATATTAGGCACTCATCGCTTGCCCATGTTAGGGAGTTCCTTGGGGAAGAATGGAAACTTGATATACTGTTTTGACTAGTTTCCTATATACTAGTATATCATTATTCCTGCGAGTGCTGAGAAAAGGTTTCTTGAAGTATATTTCTTGTTTCTCATGACCTATTTTTTTTATGTTTAATCATTGTTAAGAAACTACTTTTTCAACTTGAATTTCATATTATCATCAGGTTTGCAGGTCATGCATTCATAGTTGGTCCCCATCTTTTCATACTTTGAGCCAGAATAGGTCGCAGGAATTTATAAACTAATCACTTTGTTATGGATATGTCTTTTAGGTCTGTGTGCAAAAACATTTTTGACAGCTCGCCTGTTTCGGTTTCGGGATGTCACTTTAGAAATATTTCTCAGAGGCAACAGTGTCAGAGGATGATGTTGCCTTGAAGGAAGAGTGGTGCTTGTGTTCATACATTACTTGTCTCACAAAGCTCTGTAGCATTGCATAATCCGATCCTGTGTAACCTAGACCACCAAGGACAATGTCAGCCACAGCACTTCAGATACTAGTGACACTGAAACTATTTGAACAGTGGCATCATGAATGAAACTTACAGAATCACTGAACTCAATATAAGTCATGTCCAAAATTCAATCTAGGTCATGTCTGAACTCAATCTAGCTCAGGGCTGATTTCAATGTAGGTTATGTCTGGACACAATCTGGGTCATGTCTGAACTCAGTCTGGGCCATGTCTGAACTCACTCTGGATCATGTCTGAACTCAGTCTGGGTCATGTCTTAAGTAGGGGGGGTGGCAAGATGTGAAACATGTCAGGTTCAAAATAAGTGAAGAAAATATGATTTCACCCACCACTGAGTGTCCTAACCAGCTTGGATGTAACCACATCAAACGCAACACAATCTTGGAAATTATGCTTATTGTGCATGATCAAGTGTCACAACAGTCATAGTACCAGTAGTGCTTCCAGATGTTTCTTACATAGATTGTTTTTAGATAATGATCCGATTTTGTTATATTAATATACAACTTATTTTGCTTTTACATAACTTTTAACAATAAATATTGATGCTAATTATAACCAGTGAAAACAGTGTCATGCTGTTTGAAGTGTCATTTTTACCTGTGAACTAAATTATCTAAAGGTTCAATTATGTTCATTGCTGAGAAGCTTGTTAATATAGGCAATCTCCTGATGTTCAAACTCTTCCAGCTCTACAAGTCAGCCCAGATCTCGGCTTCCTGCATCTTCCCGAGGGAAGAGAGTTAACTGACTTCACCATTGTAATGTTTTCATTTCCTGCTTTTTTTATGAACATGTTTGTTACAATGTATAGTCAGGGTGAACTATGTAAACCACATGTCAGTGCCAACCATATGTAAACTTGGTGCACTTACACACAGTTAAACCAGAGGTCATTCACTCACTCTTTATTTTTATAAGGCTTGTGCTCAGTTGGATGAAGGGACTTTTGCTACAGAATTGGATGGGAGGGGGAGACAACTCATGCATGCCTCAAAGATGACCCTTCCCTAAAGCCAATCCATTTGTTTTTAAATCTTCCCAAAAGCAGTTTCATGACAGCCATTATGATACTAAAGTAGTTCCCTGTTGTGTAAACCATAGAAATAATATTTCATGAATATATTCCAGTAAACGTCCTCGTAAGATTCTTCTCCAGAATCTTGCCTAACAGACCCTGATATGTACGACATGCAGTCCCTGAAATGTCATTTCTCTTTTCAAACTATACTTGGGTAATGCATTTTCTGCATGCTCTACTGCACCTCACAATATCACAGTACCCGGTATGTCTCTATCTTTTTTCACATTTATTTTACAAGGAATTATTTTGTTTGTCAATTTTTTTATGTACCGATACGATGAATGTGACATTATTGTTTTGAATCTCATGTATTCTATTTTGCTGCTTTCGAGCATTTAATACATAGCAATACAGTTTTTACCTGACACAAACCGTTGTGATGCTTGCATCAACTTTTTACTGATCTGACTGCAATACAAACTTAGCCTAACCTTGGAGCTTGGAGCTCGAGTCCTCCCTCAGTCTCAATACTTTCTACTTTTATCTATGATGTTAATACTCAGTGTATTTACAAAGTTATATTTTTGATTATGCAGAATCTCTCATAACTTATAGTTCTAGTTGTAGTAGATAACTTATGCAATTTCATTTTGTAATCTTATGAATAGTTTGTGTGAATAATATCTTACAGATGTGATATATTCACTGTACATATATAGGGGTGCAACGATATGATACGTATCTCGATACACTGGTCACATAATGATATGTATCTCGATACACTGGTCACATGATGATATCTATCTCAATATGTCAGTATAACAATACAAACACATGAAATTGAAAAGTTTGTTTTTTTATTTCTTAAAGAAGACATAAAGTCACTTACATGACACTCAACTGATCTTGTAGCAGAAACAGTGAGAAAATCCTCTTATATCTGTCCCGAAATACAGGTCCGTTTGTATCTTGTTTTGTATCAAAGATCGTGTTTCGGTGTATCGTTTCACCCTTAGCGATATACTCACTGTACAGATGTGACAGGATCATTGTAAAGATTTGATGTTTTCACCATACAGATGGGATATATTCAATGTACAAATTTGATGTATTCACCATACAGATGGGATATATTCACTGTACAAATGTGATATATTCACTGCACTGATCCAATATATTTACTGCACAAGTGTAATATATTCATTTTATTGACTTTATTTTTAAATGCTTCTCATCTTGACATTTAATTCTCTCTATAAAAGCACATGTGATGTATATTTTGACCTTCATGGAAAGGTGAGTGACTTCATAGATTGAATATATATTCGTCCATTAGATGTAGAGTATTATTTTCCTGATTAATTAATCATTTCAGACAAAAACAATTCTTTGGGATTTGTCATTTTATGAGTTAATGTTATCATCTGATGTTATCGAAGATGTGATTTTATCCTGTGTTGTGTACATATTTTCTTTTTCTAATTCAGTGGTCATCAAATTGTACATTTACTTCTGTATCATCATTTATGAATGCTAAATTCTAAATCTTTGGATATCTTTTTCTTTCACATACTTACAATGTTACTTACACAGTAACAACAAAATAATATTCTGAAAAAGGTTTTGTACCTTTACAACATAGCAAGTCTGTACTCTGATCATAGGTGATTTATTACTGCCAATGCAGCTGACCTGACTACATGTGAATACAATTCCTGTTCTTTGCCAAAATAGGACCAGCCATGTTCATTTCTTGTTTTAAGAGGACTTTGCCCTGAACTTTGCATTAGTAAAAACAAATACAAATGCTGTTATTGACAAATTTTTGTTTTAGTTTTTATCTAAAAAAAATGTTTCTCTGTGCAGAGTTGCCTCCCTTACCAGGGTAATCCACAAGCTCCTCACAGCGACATCCCATTCGTGGAGGTCTTTATACTATCGCTGCCACCAATCAAAGCTCCCCACTGTTAAAGGTGGCTACAACCATGCTTGAAGTTGAACTCACAGCCGACTGACCGTTATGTTTACAAACAAGTGATGACTGCCGTGAGGCAAAATACTCTTACCCCTGCTAAATTATTTTCTTTGTTTGTCAATTTGAATTTGTTTAATTACAACTCTCATGTAATTGATATAGTAATTTATATTAGTATAGTAATGTAAGGGGGGAAGTTGATTGATTTTCTAATCGTCTGCAATCTTGAACAAACCAAGTTCCACTTGGTGATTAGCAATTTGAGAATAAATAACATGTCCAATGCAATAATATGCAAGTTCCATGTATAAATGGTAGCATACACTTGTGCCTTGTGAATATCTCAGAGTCTAACATGTACAGCCGACAGTCACCTGCTTCCATAGTCTGACACAAATCAGAAAATGTCACTGTGGTACCTTACTTGTGATTCCTTTGTTTTAATGTTGGTTTCCCATGATTACTATGTTGTGAATATGAGATCTGTGTGCAGTGCTTATTGCATCAATATCACTTTTGTGAACTTGTCTTTAATATATACATGTACAAACATAGTAATTTCAAAATCAAATATTGATTCCTTAAAAAAAAAGACAGCCCCAGGCTTAAAGGCATAAAAAATACCTCAACAATTAGGGATTATGAAAACACTAGCTGTTGAGATATTCATATTCTTTAACCAATTTGGGAGTGTTATACAAAAAGGGGTCATTATGGTTGATGTCTCTAACGTAAACTCATGGATACCAAACCGTATTAGGACCTAGCACTAGTACTATTGTCACAACCAACAGCATTCATAGGACCAGAAAAGTTTTATGCCTTACTTATATTTTTCATAATATAGACAGGTGACTTAAATGAATAGGTTTCTATGACATCGTAGCCCCCAAAATAAATGTTGAAACCTGTATGATGGCTCTTGAATCTTAAAAACCTTTTCAACCCACTTTATTAATTATCAAACAAATAACTCAGGTTATTAATTTTTTACACCTGATTTCATTTTATGAATAGCACATTTTCTCAATGTAATATATTATCATTAAGGGGGAGAGAAAGGGTAAGTTCAGAATCTCTATTGACATATTGCTCAATGGAAACTTTACAAAAGAGTTTTGACAAATATTGACTTTCAGAATAACCTGAAGCAAATGCCATTGTTTTATGTACATGTGTGACAGCAACCAAACATTCCATTTCAATGAATAAACTATTTTATCAGAAAGGTTTTTGGGGTTTTTTTGGTCTAAGAGGCCATGCTCCTCAGCAGCAGAAGCTGTCACAAGTAGCTTGATGTTGTCAACGTATTTACTGTTAACTGGGATTCAATTCCAGTTTAGACAGCAGTCCGGAGTAGACAGAAATCCAGTTCTGGCCAAGACTTACATCCCTTGGTATCTCATGCTTAATGAACAGTCTGGTATTGACAGTTCTGGATTAGTCTGGGATTAAGACAGATTCCACTGTATGCGATCACCTGAGCCTGACCACTTGATCAATTGTCACCTTAAGGAAGAGAAAACAGTCAAGTCTCGTTAATCCGACAATCGGCTTTATCCCACACTAATGATGGGAACCGATTAAATCAATGCTAGTTAGACCTGTTTATCCAATTTGCAAAGTTAATCCGACACAGTGATCAGCGTACTCCGTGGTTATCTGCCCGCGAGTACACAGCCAGTATTTTGATGCGAGACAAGTTGGCTGGTAGATGCATGTTACAAAGCTGCAGAGATAAACTTTACTTAACAATAAACAATTAATGCTTTAAATAAAGAAAACAGGATTAATTACATGCTTAGATTACATCAATCTCATTAAAATCAGATACAAGTTCTCGCTATCGCCAAGGACATCCTATTACAGGTCACGTCAGAAGAACCTTTTGCGGACTATGAACCACGAACGTTGGTACTACTTAATTTCGTTAACCGACAATCATATGCAACCAGCCATGTCGGATTAACGTGACTTGACTGTACATTTGTATATGGATGTCAACTTCTTTGTATATACATCATCGGGGGTTGGGACTTGTGCTGCTTGTGCCTCTGCCATTGGCTTGTAGATGGGTCTTGATGGACTTGGCGCTAGAGAAGGTGACATCTATGTTGGCTTCCCTTGTTAGTTTCTACCCTCTGCTATTTTCCACCTTTTGTTATGTTATTAATTTTGTTGTCCTTACATGTACATATATATGCTCTGTTTCATGGCATTCATTCACCTGATGGAGTAAGCATATACTACGAAACGTTGTGTTCCTCATAATAAAGAAGTTGACATCCATATATTCTCTTCCTCATATGTATCACTTCCAAATGCCTTTCAAAGACCTAATTGTCACCTTGTATGACAAGTATAGGTTGCTGGTGACCAATTCTAACCTGGAATCTCCACAGGGGTGTCAGCATTGTGTAAATATGACCCTAGACACCAGGTCTGTGACAGATGAAGTAAGGTTGTCAGTATTGTGTGGATAATACCCTGGATGTCAAGAACCAGGCAAGTTCACTTCAGAAGGAAAAGAAACATTACTGTTAACTGGTCATTATTCGATATCAACATAATTGATTTATTCAATTTTTTTAAATACAACAGAACAATGAGTCTATTTCTGAAAATATTTAGTTCATACAAAAGTGTGTTCTTTCTTCACATGAATTTGTATCAAATGTCATAGGAACAATGTTAGATGGGACGAGAGAACAATATCATGGAGGCACTCGAACCACAAACAAATTTTATAAATACCTGTGCATCTTGTAAAATAAGTAGCAAAAATGGTTGGTAAAACATCTCTGTTCAATAACCAAGTGTTAAAATACACCAGTACTACCATAACCTCGCAGAAATAGGTCACCATGACCTATTGAAGAGATCTATCTCACCTTCACATTCACAGAAATATTCTGATGCCTCAATATTACTGTTTTACCATTACTTATTGACGTGATGTTTATGATTCCAACATTGTCCCAATTCCCTCCCCATATCCCTTAAACTCATTTTTAGCATCAATCTTCTAGGTATTCATCCCTCATCCTTTGTCACACATTTTTCTTGTTCACCTTCCTCCTTCACAGTGGCTGAATGTGACTGCTGTTCATCCTTCTCCACGCCTACCCCTCCAGAATCCCCATCCTTTGTCACTGTCCCATCATCTGTTTCAACCTCTAACTTCACTTTTGCCTCAATGGGTGCCACTTCTTCTTTGACAGGTTTCTGGTCACTTTCCTCAGCCGTGTCTTTCTGTTCATCAGCTTTTGTTTCTGATCCATTCTCCCCACCAGATAATTCAGCTTTCTCCTCCGATTTAATATCCTTTCCTTTTTTAACAGTTAGTTCCTTAACAACCTCATGGAAATTACATTTTCTGAACTTAAAGAAATCTGTGGAGACTCCTAAACAACAGACATTAGAGATGATCTCCACTAAAACAGCAACATCAGGACTGTCACAGTTCACTCTGTTCAAAGGATTCAAACTTTTGACGACTTCACCCAACAAGGGTAACACACTATCCCGACCAATGCCATTATTATTCCTCACTTTAAACATCACAGCATAGGATCTCTCCTGGCCCTTCTCTGATGGGAAATAAGGAGGCAGGATGTTGTCTGCTAGCTTCTTCACTTCATCAAGCACCGCTTTACATGTCCCAGCAATAGGCAACATCCGCATGGCATATCTGGCCTTGGTCACTTTTTTCTCATAGAGGTCTGAGAATATCTTGTGATGCAGTTCTGTGGGGTTGTCTAGCGATGTCCGGATAAAGATGCAGTTTTTGGCGTGCGTGTCCGTGTTCTGAAACCGCCTCTCCACACTCTGCTGAACTTCCTTGATGGCCTTCAGCTCTCGAGCCATGGCCTTCTCCACATCCTCCTCTTCCTCAGTGTCAGACTTGTCCGAATCTCCATCTTTCCCTGTTAACTGCAACATGTTATACATAATCAGAACTGAGATTACTGGTAGCTTGAATTATGAACAAGTTATTTTGTATATGTGTATGCATCCTCTCCTCAATGCTAAGGTACAGCAGGGATGGACTTTAGCACTAGCCCGCTATAGCCCAGACCAGTTTTGTTAACGTTAAAGGTATCTTAAGTGCTAGTAGAATTTCAAACATTTTGTGGTGTATGGCTATATATTATCACTATTCGGGCTAGTAGATGTTCTTGCTTAATTTCCATCCCTGTGGGGTAACTCAGTGAATGGTGCCTTGATGAACACAATGTTTGTTTTGACTAAAATGTCAACACACAATGCAGGTGCATGCACAGACCCCCAGTTAAGATCTGGGGAAGAATAGGTCTTCAGCAACCCTTGCTTGCTTAAGAGGTGACTATGCTTGTCTTAAAGAGGCGACTAACAGGATTGGGTGGCCAAGCTCGCTTACTTGGTTGATGCATGTCATCGTATCCCAATTGCATGGATCGATGCTCATGACATCAATCACTGCATTGACTGGTTATTTACAGTGTTAAACAACAAACAAGCAAACAAAGCTTGAACATTGGTCACATCAGGTCACAACCCTGAGGACATCAGTTACCAGGCTACACATCTTCAGCATTGACATCATCTCTTGCTTGACTTTGTACAACAGATATAACTATACTGAACCGCAAAAGAAACATCACCATAGATAGATACCTTATTTGTCAAAACACTGTAAACATACTTTGAGACATATTAAAAAGATGAAACTTGGCAAAACTGATCATCGGGGTTGAAATTAAAGTGTCAAATGTTCTTAAGTGAAACACAACACTGGTCTCTGAGAAAATGGCATCACAAGTAAAAGTATTTTGTGTGTCCGCAATGTGAATTGATGACTGCGGTGCAACATCGATACATGGAATGGATGAGGCACTTGAGCCCACACTCTGAGGAACAGCTGACGCAGTTCAGCTGCAGTTGTCGGCCTTGGTCGGACGTCATTCAGCCGTCTTTGAATCTCGTCCCACAGGTGATCAATGGGATTTAAATCAGGACTGAGGGCAGGCCACTGTATGGTTCTGATGCCATTCTGCTGGAGGAAGTCTCTTGATGCTCTCGCAGTGTGGGCACGGGCGTTATCATGCTGAAACCCGTGTTTGTGGTGACGTGTATTTCCATTTGCACGGAACTAACGTGCAATAGGTTACCATGGCCGTTGCTGTGATGCGTTTGGGCGATCGGTTTTATTGTCATCTGCTTTGTTTTTTTATCATCAAATTTCATTTTAGGTAATGTTAAATTTTAGAAACTTTGACAAAAATTACCCACATATTTAAATGACAACTTTTCATGCAATGTTACTTGGGGTGACATTTATTTTGTGGTTCACTATATTATATTTAAACTAACAAAAATATCACATAACATGATACAAATACAGGTATGGAATAGTTGAAGTGTAATGGAGTTCAATGTAGCATTGAAGATTATTGCACTTATATAGCAATGTTCATGTATGTGTGGCTGCTTGTACTATTCCTGACTAATGCCGGTTTTATAGTGTTAGCACACTGAGATACAATGCCACAGTTCAAAATGAATACCCCAATTATACTGGCACTGAGCAATCGGACGGGAGTACACATTTACCTTTTCAGGGCCATACATCTCATCAGCATATTCATTGAGGATGTTGTAGCACTCTCTGACTGCCTGCTTCTCATTGTTGTTACATGTGATCAGGAATCCCCTCATGCCAGCAGCCAGGTTATTTAATCTCTGGCGCTTTTGGTGACATGACTTCCGGTAGTAGGACTTCGGACGCTTCTTTCCCCTTTTTTCACTCATGTTGAATGATCCTGGTAAAATAAATAAAGCAAACAACTATAGAATTAATCGTTATGGTTTCATGAATTCTTCATTGTGTCTGTACGGCTTAAGAGGGTACCGTAAGTTTAAGTCCTTTTCAGGGTCATAAATACAATTTTGTTCAGATAATAATAGCATAGGCATTAGGGAGCGACCATTTGATTTCTATGGGGGGGGCCGGAAGTATTTACAAATGAATAGGTTGGAGATAATCAGTAAAATAAATAGAATGTTTACTACTGTGAGAAAAATGAATAGTTTGTTTCCAGATATAATTTTGCATGTCATTGCAACATTTATCTATTAAATTAAAGAATTATTCCAGCATTATAAACGTAAAAATTTTCCGCCGCCTTCGGCGCAACATCACTATTACTTTAATCTTATAAGATGAAACCTCTCGTCACCACTGAATTTTCTTCAGAATGTAGTGCAAAAGATGACTGTGAGAATCCAGTCATTTACAGAACAAGTACTGACATCTCTTTGTCGTGGGAGGAGGGTCAACACACTACTCTTCAGGAGAAGTTAAATTCATGGATTGCCAATGAACATGATCCTCGACCATGCCTGTTTCAGGGTAAAGACTCCAATGAGAATTGTTCTGGTGTCCGAACATTCTCTTCAAGACTGTTCACCATTGATTCCCCACCAGTAGTGTACATAGAGATAGACAATTGTCCTCTCACCAGATACCCCAATGTTATTCAGATGAATGAACGAGTATATACACTATTTGCTTTAGTGTATGGCAATGGGGGTCATTTCGTGGGATGTGTGTGTGTGCCAGGCAAAGGTTGGTACAGTTACGATGGCTTGGAAGTATACCACCGATACGGGCCGGGACTAAAGAAACAGCTATTACCGCGTCCTCCACCAGGCTACAAACAGGACTACTGTATTTATGTCAGGGAATGACAAAAGACTATTATAACGGGTGTTCTATAGCTGTTCATGTTATAATACACCACAGGCTGCATTTGCTGAAATATGATTGCATATTTTACTCTATAATAAAATTGCAAAATTACCATCTGAAATGAATAGTTTGTTCAGCTGTTTGTTACAAAAAAATAGTTTGTTAGAAATGGCTTCAGAAAAAAATAGTTTGCTGAGAAAACAACTCCCCCCCCCCCCCCCACCCCCTAGAAATCAAATGGTCACTCCCTTAGTAAATAATCCAACATTATGTTTTGCATATACATGGTGTCATGAGGAGGATCTTGACATCAACAATGCAACAAACAAATTGAAAGTGTCGGCTGTACATAGTGTGAAGTGATCACACTAATAAGCGGCTTTTATTACATTTTCATTTTACTATGAAAGTTCAGTTCCGACGATAATTAGGGCCTAGATCCTTATTGTTATGAGAAAATGATTGCAAGAAGACGAAAGGCTTATTTTTTCAGAAAAATGAGCTGCTGCGACAGTGTTAAGTTTATTATGATGAAGCTTTGGACGCGTGAAAATAATATTTTTTGACATTTTGGATAATCACATGGTGAATGATGAGCAGACGACAAAGTGATCATAAACAGGATGTTTTCCAATTTGGAAACAAAAAATACAGAATTCGACTCATTTCCTAGTTATATCACACAGGGGTACACAGTGCAAACGGCGTCGTAGTTCTAACAACTTACAACCAAACAGGTCAACAGGAAACACGAAGATTTAAAACATCCCGACACACGTGTGTTTGTGTTTTCAGAACTTAACAGGTAGCGAATAGTTAGATTCTGAAACGAAACTACAGGTTAAGATGTTTCTAGGAACCACTAAAAAATGTTGGGAAAAAGAGCCATAACTATTATCAAATATTTATTCATATAAATATTTTATCACAAACAAGCTCTGAATACAATACAGGGTGTATATCGGTTATGTTTGAATCTGAAGCCGTTTTAAATTGTGCATATGTATTTCAAGCTTTGACTGCGAGCCTATCGTCGATTAATACGTGTGTCTGTTTGACTAATATTAAAGAAAGATATAGGTTTGGTGCCTAAGTTTGAAGCGAAATATGTTCATATAAAATACGTTAAATGCTTGGAAATACTAAAAGGATTTTATATACGACTATATACCGCAGTAACACCTAGTTGATATTTCCAAAATGGCTGACGTCTCGTTAGACGATTACATTCAGAAGAAGAATTTCCGTGTTCAGATCCAGTAAATATACATTTAATTCGAAACATTTCGTATGGTCTTAATGAAAAAGATTCCACTCTCAAGAGATGTTGACATTCAGTTGACAAAGTCTATATTTTAGCGTGCTACTTGTTCTACTTTCACTTAACTCTCAGAAGATCACAAAGTATATTTCTCCGATGTATTGACGCACGTGACATTTATTTCGATATTAAAAGATCAATTACGTGAGATGAGAGGTAGAATCTACGTTGTCGGTCCTTATATTGATTGTACTGTAGGGAATTGTATGTTGTTTTGCAATTGATAATAAATTTAAGAGTTGTGTATAGGCTAATAATGTTGAACGCCAAATGTAGAGTTGTTATTATGTCGGCCTATTGGCAAGATACTCGAGTTTGCTCTGGCTGTGGCTTGCACTTCACTTACCATGTGATTCTCTTACATATTTAAGATGTTACACTACTATGAGTACCGTGACGTTAAACAGTATACAGAGAAAGAGAAAGATTACTCATACTGTAAAGGGGGTGTAACATCACACAGACTTTGTAAATACTCAGATGATGGCTTGCTTTGAAGAGAAAGTTGTCTTTTATGAGTGAATGAGACATTTTACAGTTGTTCAAGTGATTAGAGAGAAAACTATGAATGTTTCTTAAGCGTCCGAAAACCCATAACACAGGCATATATATAAGATCTTAATATTTTTTACTCAGTTTTCAAAATTAAGAGTCCTGGGGCCTTTAATGTTGTGCTGCTATGTGGTATAGTATTAAAATTTAGCTTGTCTATGGGCCCCTCTTAGCCTTCAGCCTTCAGCAGGCAATTAGTGTTTTGTAACTCACAAGCTTTCTCTCGAATTTGCTTCTGTTAAAAAAACAAGACTGAAGCCAGTTTACTCTGCGCAGTGCTTGTGTTTTTGGCTTCACTGTGTAGAGCTTTGGTTGGTTTTGGTTTGAGAACTGGATCGGGCATGTGACATATCATAAATCATACGTATGTGTTTTCATATGTGTTACATCAGACGTGTTTGTGCAATGATTATTTATGTAACACAGTACCATGACCACAGTTATGATGAGGGGGCAAGGGTGGCCCAGTCGTCTTAAGGCGCCGCGATTCGCTGTGCAGAGTTGCGTCCCTTGGGCACGCCAGAAACCTATGATTGTGGGTTCGAATCCCGGTTCGCCCAAATTATGTTTCTAGGTTTGTCAGCACCATACCCATGCTCGTGGGTTTCACCGAAGTGGTAAACGTCTGAGACCTGCATCACTTTGAGCTTTCCTCCCACATTAAGCTGACACGCCGCAATATAACTGGAAAACTGTTAAAAGCGGCGTTAAACCCAACTCACTCACTCACAGTTATGATGACTTTTTCAGAAATGACTGGAACCAAGGAGGTAACGCGGGTCTGACAACTCGAGGAGGGAACGCTGGCTTTACAACTCGAGGTGGCAAGGCTGGCTTCACAACTCGAGGTGGCAAGGCTGGCTTCACAACTCGAGGTGGCAAGGCTGGCTTCACAACTCGAGGTGGCAAAGCTGGCTTCACAACTCGAGGTGGCAAAGCTGGCTTCACAACTCGTAAGAATCAGAACAGTCCCGGAGGAGTCAATAGGATTCAGCCTAATCAGAACAGAGGCCCATCTGTGATGGTAACTGGACTTGGAAATGTTAAAAGTTTTGATGCCAGACAGAAAATTGGACAAAAGGTTCAATTTGATGCCAGAGATCGTCTTCAGATGAAGAAGCCTGTGGATGCCAGGATGAAAATAAGTGGACCTCGGGGCCAAGTAGGGGCAAATACGATAAATATCCAAGGTGGAATAAGGCAGAGAATAACTGGCCCAGGAGATGGGACGAGACAAACAATCTCAGCCCCAGGAGTAAGGCAGCAGGTTGTTGGACCAGGCAGTGGCATCAGGCAACAAGTGTCCAGGTTAAGCACTGGCTTGGGGCAACAACTGACCAGGCCAGGAAGTGGGAAAATGGAAGAACGTACCTTGACTGTTAAACTTGGTGAGCTGGGAAATGATGCCAGGAAGAAGATAATTGCACTCAAAACAAATAAAGGAACATATGACGCCAGGTCACGGATTGCCATCAGTCCACCCAATCAGCAACAGCAAGTTACCATCACTGGAATTGGGAAGGTCTCACAGGGTGCCGAGGGAACATTCATGAGAACTGTAAGTAAACTGGTTATAATGGTTACAGACTAAAAGGAGCTCACCGTCTGATAATTGTAGTGATATCAGGTTCCCCATGAATGTTGAAAAATTTCCTAATATGTTTACTGTTTTACCTTACTCATGTTAGCATTGACAAGGCTGAGGATAATGTCTCAACACAGACAGTAGTCGGTAGCTCTAAGCAGTGTGTAAGTAGTTGTATTGTATCCGATTGATGGGAGGCTCAGCATATAATCTTCATCTTTCCAGCCTAAATCATGAGCTCCCTCAATGGTAGCTCATGATGTTAGCACTTTGTTCATGTTGTTTACCATGTCACCCTCTCTGGTATATGTTTAAGGATTGAGGCATGTGTAATGGAAGTTAAAATGCTTAGCCATGATAAATACCACTTAATGCTGAGACTGCTTAGTGACTTGAAAGCAGGATAGTTTTGCATGAAAGGACTACCCTGTTTTGGTAAATTGCTTTTCACACCAATTGGTTATTTGAAAGGAAATTTATTCAGTTGTAATACATGTTAAGTACATTTGTCTGTAATTATCACTTGTTAAAAATGCTTGATATTCATGGTTATTAAAGTAATCTTTTGTTTACACAGGCCAACAGTGCAGGTTCCCATCAGATTCAGAAGACTGGACTGATTACTCGAACTGTAAGTAAGATTATCATAGACCTTTTTGATGTACATAGACATAAATTCACATATGTAAACTTTGTTGTCTAAAATGACCTAAATGAGACAATGAAAATAATTATATAAAGTATATATATGGTTTTGTTCTTTGTGGTTTTCAGCTGAACAACACACCATCACAGTCCAGTGAAAGCGGAATAGCATCAAGGATTCAGTTGACCAATGGTGGACTACAGGTGACGCGAGCTATCCCATCAGCCACTGTGTCATTTGAAGGCAGCATGCTGACTGTTACAAAGAGAACACAACAGTACCAGGTACAGAGAACACTTATGTTTTGGATTGCGCAAAAATTATGCAAATTGTCATGCACTTCTTCATGGTTTTTTAGACCAAGGTTATTTTTTTTAGCTCATCTGACTTAATGTCAGTTGAGCGTATGTCTTCGCGTGTTGTCCATCCGTCCATCTTTTGCATTTTCAATATCTACGCAGAAACTGTATATGGAGCTGAAAGTTTGTATGAATAATCCCAGCTTTGATGTCTTTAAACCTTGCTCACAGAATTTGATTACCAGGGAATATTGATAAGTCCAGGGTGCCATTGTACAAAACAACCTTAGCGCTGCGACTGTAGTAAGTCTCTGTTAAGGTAGGGGAGGTATGATCACATTAGCGCTAAGATCGCTTTGTACAACGGCACCCAGATTTTTTACTTTTGTATCTCCTTGGATCATGTGGATCATGCACACATTTTCATCTGATTACATGTCTTCACAGCAGGAAGAGGAACCGCCTCAGAGTGAAACCCAGGACAATCAGTATTCACAATACAATGAAATGGACAGTTTTGAAGATGAAAATGATTTAAATTTGGGAAGTTACTCCGAAGAAATTAAGCCACAGCTCCTACAAATTAAAAAGACAATCAGAACTACTCCATTCCCCGTAGAAAGTGCGCCAAAAAGTGTGCCGGCAATGTCGACATTAAAAAGGAAGGCTCCTCAACCAGCAAAGGTTCAGTCAAGTGGTCCTCTGAAGTTTGTGAAGCCACCGGGAGGCCCTCACATTCCTATTATTGTGCCACCAAAGAAAGCCAAGATGACTGCTCCTGTAGCTAAACCCATCGTCAAGCAGACCAAGGTTCAGGTGAAGGAGCCTGTAGAAGAGGTAATGCTAGTCAACTCTCGAGATAACAAACTCCATGTCACAGTCAACTAGAGTAACAATGCATTATAGTGTTGATGTATTGATATGTCATAATTTCTGTTGCAGGGTACTGTTTCACAAAGCAGTCGTCAGTCATATGTGTGTGTAAAACAGGCGTATCTTTGAAATACTGAACTAGGGGTGTTTCACAGAGCTAGTGTAATATTACGTCCGTGTAAAATTTACGTACATTGTACCCGTGGTCTTGGGGTAGTTTATTTATGCAAGGGGTTTAAGATGGTGCTCAATCTAAATGGGGATGAGATGAAAAGAAAAGTGTGTTGTCGAGAAATCCTTTTCAGCAACAGGTCCTCCTTTTTATTGTGCTTCATCTTCTTCTCTGAGCACCTGCCACAGTAGATAACTGTCGTGCTGATTTTCCTACCTCACAAAAGGAAAGAGCTCCAGTCTTAATATTTTAAGGGCACGTAAGGTGGCAACATTTTACGGCAGTTTTAGTGTAGCTTTGTTAAATAGTCAGTACTATTTTTCAAGTATTTACCTTTGGCAATACAATGTACTCAAACAGCTAGTTAAATTTCCTATTTTTTTCTTGAATTCTTTTTGTTGCCTAAAGTGAAGTCGTCAAAGCTATTTAACATGTTTAAACTGTCACCTACTACATTTGTACTACTAACTTTGTGGGATGTAAAACTGCTCCTGGTGCAGAATAGCTGCTGTTTGCAGTGCTGGCAGTGTATGTGATAATCATTGAGACATTGGTATTTGACAGTGAATCGCAATGTTCCCACATACATTTTATGTCAACTATCACAATAATTGTGATGTAGTTTTTGAGTACCAATCTACACACCTACCTTCAACATGATCAAAACCTGTTTTTGTGTCTGAAGTTTGTTATTTCTCAAGTAATATCATTGAATGCCTTCTTCAGGATTAGAATTGGGTTAACACTATCTGGCGTACTCAGCTACATCTGGAGTTCAGGTTGACTGTACATGGTATCACCTTCGTAAGGCTATGTTAGAACCAACAGGGATTTTTTTCAACCTTTAAAATAAGACAAAGTGACCAAGGCTTGTGTCAAGGACAACTCAGGTGTGGCGTGGCAGATTTGGCATCACCCTATCCTGATTATTGCACACAATCCGCCTCTGGTTTGTTTAGCTCTTTCTTTATGCTGAGGGGGGCACGGGTGGCCCAGTCGTCTAAGGCGCCGCGATTCACTGTGCAGAGTTGCGTCCCTTGGGCACGCCAGAAACCTATGATTGTGGGTTCGAATCCCGGTTCGCCCCGATTATGTTTCTAGGTTTGTCAGTACCATACCCGTGCTCGTGGGTTTCACCGAAGTGGTAAACTTCTGAGACCTGCATCACTTCGGGCTTCTCTCCCACATTAAGCTGACACGCCATGATATAACTGGAATACTGTTAAAAGCGGCGTTAAACACAACTCATTCACTCACTCACTCACTTTATGCTGAGGTGGCATAATGCACATTGATTTGTATTCTTCTTTTGTTTGGAGGAAGAGGAAACGACTCAAGACATCCTTAGTCCACTGCAAGGCTATCGAGTGTATGTTACTAACCTTCACCCAGTCGTCAACCAAGATGATATCATTGTAAGTACAAAACCACAAGTTTTGCTGTAACAATGCAGTAGTCTTTCACATTGTCTACCTACAAGTTATTCAGATGTAAAGTAATCTATATATAATGTTGAGTCAGGAAAACATTTCCTGTTTAAGGGTATTTTGACTTGTGTCTTGTTGTATTTGCTTTCTAGGAGTTGTTTGGCGCAATTGGTGCTCTTCGTAAAGCCAAGCTGATAAAACAGGGGACTGCGGAGGTTGTGTATGTGAAGAAGGATGATTCCCTCAAGGCTGTACAGAAATATCACAACAGGGAGTTGGATGGTGAGTTGATAAACTGTTACTTTCAGGCCAAATTAGTCTTGCCCTAGGAATACAAGAGAGAGAACACAGGCATTGCTCTTATTGATTGCAGTTGACTTTACACTGAACTTGAAGAGATGATTATGTCTCCACAAATAACAGCATACAAATCACTGATACAAATAGGAATATTGCATATGGTAGCTAGGTCGTTTATGATGAGACTATTGAGTACCAGTGATCCAGTGTCAGGATTCAAGGGTACAGTAGGTCTTCTGTACCCCATTCTTGTTGTAAAAGACAACAAATGAGGACAGGGTGGTTACAGCTTGTATCCTGCCTGATTCAGTACCAGTGATCCAGTGACAGGATTCAAGGGTACTGTAGGTCTTCTGTGCCCCATTCTTGTTGTAAAAGACAACAAATGAGGACAGGGTGGTTACAGCTTGTATCCTGCCTGATTCAGTACCAGTGATCCAGTGACAGGATTCAAGGGTACTGTAGGTCTTCTGTGCCCCATTCTTGTTGTAAAAGACAACAAATGAAGACAGGGTGGTTACAGCTTGTATCCTGCCTGATTCAGTACCAGTGATCCAGTGACGGGATTCAAGGGTACTGTAGGTCTTCTGTACCCCATTCTTGTTGTAAAAGACAACAAATGAGGACAGGGTGGTTACAGCTTGTATCCTGCCTGATTCAGTACCAGTGATCCAGTGACGGGATTCAAGGGTACTGTAGGTCTTCTGTACCCCATTCTTGTTGTAAAAGACAACAAATGAGGACAGGGTGGTTACAGCTTGTATCCTGCCTGATTCAGTACCAGTGATCCAGTGACGGGATTCAAGGGTACTGTAGGTCTTCTGTGCCCCATTCTTGTTGTAAAAGACAACAAATGAGGACAGGGTGGTTACAGCTTGTATCCTGCCTGATGCAGTACCAGTGATCCAGTGATGGGATTCAAGGGTACTGTAGGTCTTCTGTGCCCCATTCTTCTTGTAAAAGACAACAAATGAGGACAGGGTGGTTACAGCTTGTATCCTGCCTGATGCAGTACCAGTGATCCAGTGATGGGATTCAAGGGTACTGTAGGTCTTCTGTACCCCATTCTTGTTGTAAAAGACAACAAATGAAGACAGGGTGGTTACAGCTTGTATCCTGCCTGATTCAGCTGCCTCATTGTGCCCTGGCAGCATGGATTGTTGGTCTGGCTATCACCCACTTGTTTGCCTCACCCCGATTATTTACACAAAGCGATTTAGTTGGAATATAGATGACTGTGGCATCAATACACAGTAAGATCCCAGTTAGAATTCATCACCAGCAACCCATGCTTTTCATAAGAGGTGAGCAACAGGATCGGGTGGTCAGACTCGCTGACTTGGTTGATGCATGTCATCGTATCCCAATAGCGTAGAACGATGCTCATGATGTCATTTGAATTGTCAGGTCCAGGCTCAATTATTTACAGAATGCCACCATATAGCTGGAATATTGCTGAGTGGAGCATTAAACAGACAAGCCTGGCATAAATCAACATTCACTCATTAACACACAGCCCAGTAATGTGCAATTTCACTTTGTTCCGAGCATGGACTGAACATCCTCAGTCTCCACCCCAGTGAGAGTGTATGAACCTCCGTCCAGCCAGTCTGGTGTTGTGCTGATGGTACTTACCTTGTCTTCCCACCCCAGTGAGTGTGTATGAACCTCCGTCCAGTCAGTCTGGTGTTGTGCTGATGGTACTTACCTTGTCTTCCCACCCCAGTGAGCATGTATGAACCTCCGTCCAGTCAGTCTGGTGTTGTGCTGATGGTACTTACCTTATCTTCCCACCCCAGTGAGAGTGTTTGAACCTCCGTCCAGTCAGTTTGGTGTGGTGCTGATGGTACTTATCTTGTCTTCCCACCCCAGTGAGCGTGTATGAACCTCCGTCCAGTCAGTCTGGTGTTGTGCTGATGGTACTTACCTTATCTTCCCACCCCAGTGAGTGTGTATGAACCTCCGTCCAGTCAGTCTGGTGTTGTGCTGATGGTACTTACCTTGTCTTCCCACCCCAGTGAGCGTGTATGAACCTCCGTCCAGTCAGTCTGGTGTTGTGCTGATGGTACTTACCTTGTCTTCCCACCCCAGTGAGCGTGTATGAACCTCCGTCCAGTCAGTCTGGTGTTGTGCTGATGGTACTTACCTTGTCTTCCCACCCCAGTGAGCGTGTATGAACCTCCGTCCAGTCAGTCTGGTGTTGTGCTGATGGTACTTACCTTGTCTTCCCACCCCAGTGAGCGTGTATGAACCTCCGTCCAGTCAGTCTGGTGTTGTGCTGATGGTACTTACCTTGTCTTCCCACCCCAGTGAGTGTGTATGAACCTCCGTCCAGTCAATTGTGTTGTGCTGATGGTACTTACCTTGTCTTCCCACCCCAGTGAGTGTGTTTGAACCTCCGTCCAGTCAGTCTGGTGTTGTGCTGATGGTACTTACCTTGTCTTCCCACCCCAGTGAGCGTGTATGAACCTCCGTCCAGTCAGTCTGGTGTTGTGCTGATGGTACTTACCTTGTCTTCCCACCCCAGTGAGTGTGTATGAACCTCCGTCCAGTCAGTCTGGTGTTTTGCTGATGGTACTTACCTTGTCTTCCCACCCCAGTGAGCGTGTATGAACCTCCGTCCAGTCAGTCTGGTGTTGTGCTGATGGTACTTACCTTGTCTTCCCACCGCAGTGAGCGTGTATGAACCTCCGTCCAGTCAGTCTGGTGTTGTGCTGATGGTTCTTACCTTATCTTCCCACCCCAGTGAGTGTGTATGAACCTCCGTCCAGTCAGTCTGGTGTTTTGCTGATGGTACTTACCTTGTCTTCCCACCCCAGTGAGTGTGTATGAACCTCCGTCCAGTCAGTCTGGTGTTGTGCTGATGGAACTTACCTTGTCTTCCCACCCCAGTGAGTGTGTATGAACCTCCGTCCAGTCAATTGTGTTGTGCTGATGGTACTTACCTTGTCTTCCCACCCCAGTGAGTGTGTATGAACCTCCGTCCAGTCAGTCTGGTGTTGTGCTGATGGTACTTACCTTGTCTTCCCACCCCAGTGAGCGTGTATGAACCTCCGTCCAGTCAATGGTGTTGTGCTGATGGTACTTACCTTGTCTTCCCAACCCAGGTAGCGTGTATGAACCTCCGTCCAGCCAGTCTGGTGTTGTGCTGATGGTACTTACCTTGTCTTCCCACCCCAGTGAGCGTGTATGAACCTCCGTCCAGTCAGTCTTGTGTTGTGCTGATGGTACTTACCTTGTCTTCCCACCCCAGTGAGCGTGTATGAACCTCCGTCCAGTCAATGGTGTTGTGCTGATGGTACTTACCTTGTCTTCCCACCCCAGTGAGCGTGTATGAACCTCCGTCCAGCCAGTCTGGTGTTGTGCTGATGGTACTTACCTTGTCTTCCCACCCCAGTGAGCGTGTATGAACCTCCGTCCTGTCAGTCTGGTGTGGTGCTGATGGTACTTACCTTGTCTTCCCACCCCAGTGAGCGTGTATGAACCTCCGTCCAGTCAGTCTGGTGTTGTGCTGATGGTACTTACCTTGTCTTCTCACCCCAGTGAGTGTGTATGAACCTCCGTCCAGTCAGTCTGGTGTTGTGCTGATGGTACTTACCTTATCTTCTCACACCAGTGAGCGTGTATGAACCTCCGTCCAGTCAGTCTGGTGTTGTGCCGATGGTACTTACCTTGTCTTCTCACACCAGTGAGCGTGTATGAACCTCCGTCCAGTCAGTCTGGTGTTGTGCCGATGGTACTTACCTTGTCTTCCCACCCCAGGTAGCGTGTATGAACCTCCGTCCAGTCAGTCTGGTGTTGTGCTGATGGTACTTACCTTGTCTTCTCACACCAGTGAGCGTGTATGAACCTCCGTCCTATTAGTCTGGTGTTGTGCTGATGGTACTTACCTTGTCTTCTCACACCAGTGAGCGTGTATGAACCTCCGTCCAGTCAATGGTGTTTTGCTGATGGTACTTCCCTTGTCTTCCCACCCCAGTGAGTTTGTATGAACCTCCGTCCAGTCAGTCTGGTGTTGTGCTGATGGTACTTACCTTGTCTTCCCACCCCAGTGAGCGTGTATGAACCTCCGTCCAGTCAGTCTGGTGTTGTGCCGATGGTACTTACCTTGTCTTCCCACCCCAGGTAGCGTGTATGAACCTCCGTCCAGTCAGTCTGGTGTTGTGCTGATGGTACTTACCTTGTCTTCTCACACCAGTGAGCGTGTATGAACCTCCGTCCTATTAGTCTGGTGTTGTGCTGATGGTACTTACCTTGTCTTCTCACACCAGTGAGCGTGTATGAACCTCCGTCCAGTCAATGGTGTTTTGCTGATGGTACTTCCCTTGTCTTCCCACCCCAGTGAGTTTGTATGAACCTCCGTCCTGTCAGTCTGGTGTTGTGCTGATGATACTTACCTTGTCTTCCCATCCCAGTGAGCGTGTATGAACCTCCGTCCAGTCAGTCTGGTGTTGTGCTGAAGGTACTTATCTTGTCTTCCCACCCCAGGTCTGCCAATGCAGGTGAAGCTGCTGACTTCTACCACAGCAACGGTGAAAGTTCCAGCACCAGCGCCAGTTGAGGCAGATGACAATGCAGATGCTTCAAAACAAGGGCCTCTCAAGTGAGTATATAGTTCTAACAAGGAATTCCGGCCTCCCATGGACATTTTTTTTTGTGACCTATAACTTGAAAACTGCTACATGGATTCTCCTCAAACTTTGTGCTCTATACCAATAGGAGAGGTGCAGTGCAAAGTTTGATTTCAATATTTGGATTTCTGAAAAAATTTGTCCCATAACTACTTGAAAGCTCTTTTTCAAATTTTGGAACAGTTTGCATACTAACAGAAGAGGTGCAGTGAAAAGTTTGAGTTTGATATGTGAAAAATATGATTTTTTCCATGAATGTTTTTTTTACTTCAACATTTGTGTGACCAATAACTTGAAAACTACTTCATGGTTTTGTCCACTAGTCCTTATAATGATAACATATAGCAAAACCCTTAAAATGGACCAATTTTTACTAGTCCTTAGGATACCTTTACTATTGGGCAGTTTGGTAAGGACTACAGGACTAGTGCCAATTTCTAACGCTGGGACATAGGTAGTCAAACAGTCCAAGGCACTGTAACTCTTTGAAAAGAGTTGCATCCCCTTTCACTGTAAGGATCAGCTGATATTTGGTTTGAATCCAATATTTGCCAGATTTATGATAGTTGGTTTGTATTATAATGTGTTTCACCAACGCAGTAAATATCATCAACCTGCATTGCAAAGCTTTCTTCCAAGATTAAGCTGAAGTGCCATGATGTAGCTGAATACTCGTGATTTATTCAGTGTTCCTGATCTACTTTTAGGTTGTTGAAACAGGCATCTTCAGCATCTTCCATCCTGCGTGCCCAAGCGGAGGCGGAGTCTGCAGTGGAACCATCTCTTGTACACAGGGCTCTGTTTAAGCTTGGAGCACAGGGCTCCAAGCCTGTTACCTTCACGGTCAAGATCTAGAACTACATCAGTTGTGTCCCTTGCTCATTGTTTTGAAATGATAAGCATCCTTCTCATCCAGTGTATCTACCATAGAGAGATGAACCTTGTACTGGTTCAGTAATCATTCACACGTGACCATGAACACATGAAGGTGGACCTTTGCAGTGTCATTGACACCGAGTGACAGTCTTCTGAAGTACCGTTCTGTGTAGTTCTGTGTTGACAACCCTTCTGAACAGCCTCGGAGAACTCATACCCATAACATACCAGACTGATTAGGAGTTTAAACTGATTAGTGCTTCCTGGTGAAACTAGTCATCAATGGACATCACAAGTCAATTAGACCATCATTATTTAATTTGCAGAGACAAGTAAGTCTTAATTGTAAATTTTCTATTTTCTGTTGAGATTATTGTTGATGGGTAATTCTCAGTTTATTAAACTTTATTGGACTAAATATGTCTCCGATCTAGATCTGTTTAGTTTATATTATTGAAGAGATCATCTCATCCATCCAGGAATGTTTTTGTGAAATGTCATCTCACATCATGTCTGAGAAATGAAAACTACAAAATACCTTACGTGTCGGAGAGCAAAGGATTTGTATATGGTTCTGGGGTTAGACTGACATTGAGGTGGATCTCAGCATGTGTTATGTGTCATGACATTTTAGAGTTATCAATATGTCAATATATTGATACTGTTTGCATCAACGATATGTTCATGTATATGTTTTGCAACTGTTTAAATACCAATGTAATGCATTGGAGATGAATGTACATGTATTTTACATTATCAAAGGTTGGTGCTTTTTTAAATACACATCTTATGATGTTGACAAACAATGTCTTGTCATAAACTTTTGATGTAAAAAAGTATTTTCGTAAGTTTGAATTATTCTCCGGCATGTGTTAGAGCTGAAGGACCTTGAAAATATTTCCCTTAAATTTATTTCTTCATGAACCCTCATTTGTATATGTGAAGTGATCATAACACGACATTTGTAACATAGTTCCTTGAAGTTTGTTGAATCACCTCTGTACAATGTTGAATATAAAGCATATGGCCCCATTTTTGACATGTTGAATATGAAGCATATGGCCCCATTTTTGACATGTTGAATATGAAGCATAAGGCCCCATTTTTGACATGTGGAATATGAAGCATATAGCCCAATTTTTGACATGTTGAATATGAAGCATAAGGCCCCATTTTTGACATGTGGAATATGAAGCATATAGCCCAATTTTTGACATGTTGAATATGAAGCATATAGCCCAATTTTTGACATGTTGAATATGAAGCATATAGCCCAATTTTTGACATGTTGAATATGAAGCATATGGCCCCATTTTTGACATGTTGAATATGAGGCATATAGATTAGTTCTAACATTGTTGAATGTGAAGTATGTAGCCTAATTCTAATTCTGACATTTAAAAGAATGCACAGAGCCTAATTCCAACAAGGCTTTAAAGGATGCATACTGTCCCCATTAAACAATGTTTCATGTGTACAGGCTGGTCGACAAGGCCAGGAGATATGTTTGATGAGAGATCTCATCTCACACTGCAGCAAGAGATGTTCATTATATTGGCTGATGAACTGGTCCATATTATATGGCCTGAACTACACTCAGTCATTGTTGATACAGCAGTACTTAAAGAAGAGGTTTCACGATAGCATTAAGGGTAATACCAAGTCCCTTAGACCACTTCCCCTTCCTGTGTTTGAATGAGAATAGTGTGAATGCTGTGTTGAGGACGTGTTATCTGTGATTCCATGTTCATGGGGAGCCCAGGGCCATCTACAACATAATATCTCGAGAAGGTAATACAAGTCTTCCTTGTGGAATCTTTGGAAGAAGAGCATGAGGACTGTTATCATGATGACACTGCCTCTGGTGTGACCTCGACACATTGCTAGTATTGGCAGGCAGTGTGCTTGTATATAGATGAGCTGTTGGTCCACACAGGTTTGAGGTTAGACTATCTGCTTGGTTTGTGAAGGTATGTCTGGTGTCGTTGTTGTGTCATGCCAATGTTCAACAACCAATGGCTATTGAATAAATTTTGTCAATACCATGTGTATTTGTGTTTTAGCTCATCTGGATGGTTTATTTTCAGTTTACATTTTTACTTGCATGATTATCAAACCAATTAAGTTGTGGACAAAACCTCAAAGACTTCCGGAGTGAGTGAATGTGGGTGACAACATGAGCAACAATCCAAGCAGTCAGTACACAATGGCCCACAATCGGCCAGGTCAAACAGTATGACCATGCACTCCACAACTGTTCTGTGCCCAGTATTTTCCTGCTAACCTAATATGACACCGTATACGGCAACTAAAGATACCATAAGGAATTTATTATGCCAAAATTTATTTACACTCTGGTATCCATATCGCACGTGTCATGTCAAATTGAAAACTTGACACTAACAACGGTACATTGAGTTGATGTTAAGGGTGAAAGGGAGACTACTCTTAAAACCTAGCCCAATATTTTTCTGCTAACTTAATATGACCCCATATATACAGCAACTCAAGACACCATAACTAAAAGCATCTTGCTGACCTTTTGTAAAAGAGTCTCCCAAAAGCATTGTCCCTCTGTGGACTAGTGTTTCACTCACTAGGCTACAAGTACGAAGGTCAAAAGTTCAATCCCACTGAAATATTAGAAACATTTGTTGTTGATATTACATCATTCCGGCACGTTTCCTTAAGTTAGCATTGTAATGGGTGTTATAAAGATTGTGTTCAATAACTAGGGACATTTGATACATGTCAAACCCACTTTACAAATGTTACCTTCTGAAATACCCAGAGACTTCCTTTGGAATATCCCTGGGACAGAGGGATATTCTGTAGAAAGTCCCTGCTAATTGGTTATTCTATGAAAATACAGCCCCGTGAAAACAATAGGATGATGTCACTAGAGGTGTCTGGTAGGGCTGGGATGAGTCCAAACTTACTACCCAGGTACCCAACCCCCTATTACCTGACCCTACCCGGGTACCCGCTGTAGGTCTCAAGAGATAGGTACAAAATGTCCGATTGGGACTAGTAGTTTGACTGTAGCCCAAGCAAAATGCACTTAGATACACATGTAGGACGATCTGGTCATGCATAAAACTGAATTTGACAGAAGCTTAATCTTGAATGTGTTTATAGTCAGAAGTAATGCGAACGTTAGTTGTTTGTAGTGTAGCCATGAAGTTCTAGATACCTTTGGTCATTAAACAATATATCACGTGACTAACCACAGGTCCGGGTAGTTCTGTGGGTACCCGAGTTACCCGTCCAAGCCCTAGTGTCTAGTTCTTGGGCCCTATGATGGCCTGGAGTCCCCATGGGTGATACCTGGGGACTGCTCATCCAAAAGTGAATGACAACAAGATGGGCGGCCAATCCTGATTTTTCTTGATATGAGAAACGGACACGACAATAGAAATAAGCCATTTTATTGCAAAAGTTGGAACAACTGTAAACAACTTGTCTAGAAAGCAATAATTGTGAATGGTAACAAACACAGATACCAAAAAATTGTGAAATGAAATAGTTTCAGGATGATCGATGATATCATATATCATAAAATGTCATAAAAAATGTGCCTGGTTGCAAAATTGGTGAAAGATGCAAACATCTGAAATAAAGGCTTTGGCGGACATTTTGTTTATTTTATCATGATTATGATTTGTACAGTTATTCTTGAATAGCAAATTAATTATAAAAGACATACACAATAAAACATTTTATCAAACTGACAAATGCACACAAATAACAAGGTAACAAAAAGTCATATAGTTTTCTATGTGACTTTGACTTCCAGCAGCCCTTCAGTCCAAAAAGATGGGTCAGTCAGGGGTAGTCGCCATCATCTTATAGAGGAAGGAATAATAAGACTTTACATATATTTTGGGTGTATGGTAAAGATCAGCATGTGAGAAAAAATAATACAAAACAAAACTTGCACCATTATAACTGAAACAGAATTACACAGCATAAAATATGAAATTGCTCAGAACAAATGAGTAGATCGAAAACAATCTTGAAAATGACATGCTCCTGTGAAATGATGTTCATTATGACAAGCAAAATAATACAACAAAACTGAAACCTGATCTGTGAAGGAAGGGGCAGCAAGATCATGGGAATGAAACCCTGGCAATGTGTGAAAGGCAAACACACTAACCACAGGGCTATCCCGAACAGCATACCCTTTCCCACACTTCTACACATCTTCTGGGAGTCACACAAGCTTGAGACACACCCACTGCACTCTTTGGAAACCACCCCAAGCCTTCTCTAAATCACGGTACCTTGGCTACCCCTACCACAGCTGAAACTGCAACATCAGTGATATAACATGACAATCTGAAGGGGATTCAAAGTCAAACAAATCTTCTTGTGATGAAATTTGAAAACACCTCAGCTACCGATCTTGTTGCAGAGTTAGGTGGGTCAGAGCTTTTCAAAGTACTAATGTTCCAATACTGAAAATAATTACCCTCCCTATTAATGCTTGTCATATTTTTTGGTACATTTTTTTCATGACCCTCCCCTAAAAGACAACATGCAATTGCAAATATGTGTTTTACTTTTTACAACCCTCCCCTGGAGACGTCATAGTTTGGTGACCCTGCCCTGACTCCCCACCCTATAATAAATTACCCTTACAATACAAAAAACACCAAGCATGAGATATTAGTTTTAGAACAAAGCTAGATATTATACATTTCCTATATACATGACATTGTTACACCCTAAACATGGTTTTGACACTCTTGCATTCACTAGTAACCATGGTAACTCAGAAATGTACCTGTCACATGATAATTTACACTATGATACACACACCTTTGCATAGTCTACAGACAGTCTAAACAATTGTCTCCGAAACAACAAACTTTTGAAGATAAAAAGTGTTCTGTTCAACATCCTACAGAGGTGACAGTCTTGAACATGTAAGGAGTCCATTTTGGAAATTGTGAAAATTTCTCCAAACAGATTTTGATTACCACATGTTTAAGAACATTGTGAATACCAATATTTGTGATCAATTCTAAATCTCAGTTTGTCTAGCTTGCTGATGTAGTCAAGGGGTAATACAGGGGATAAGGGAATATAAGAAGAAATCTTCAAGTGGCTTAAAACATGGAGACACCACTGTAATATTTGAAAGTGCATTTTACAAATTCTTTTTACTATTTGTGATCTACAATTCAATAAAATTATTTCCACTGTGTGACAACTGTGTGGGTCTTTATACAAAACATGTTGATTTTTGGCCTTGATTGTTTATACATAAACCTGGGTGCAATCTTGAAAGGTTATGTGTTATTTGTAAGAGAAAAATCATGTTAGTGTCAAAACATATACAGTTATACTTTGGTTGACAATGGTTTGAAAAAAATGCATAATATACTTTAAAGCTTTTAAACCTTTTGAACAATGTGCTGTTTTAAGAAAATGTGAAAGTATTGTTCCATAAATGACCTGTAAGATCTTGTGAAATATGGTTTGACGTTGGATGGAATTATAGTGCAAAAGGTGTCTTGGAATCCTAAATTCAGCAAAAACATACAGATATATCAAAATATAAAAAAAAGTCTTCATATACATTTTCAATTATCAACACCAACAACAGCAAAGCAAGTATGTTCCTAAGTGTATCAATACTTTTAACTGATGACAAGTTCAGAACATAAAAATGATAACCAACAATCACAGTGTCTACTGGACATCGCTCATAGGCATCCACATCTTCCCGAGGCAAGAGAGTTAAATGACTTTAAAAGTCCAGTTTCCACCCTTGGCGAACTAGGTTGGAATTCCTGGGCTCTATCGTAGCGCCACCAGTGGCTATTAGGAGTTATGTCCCTTCTAAGCCTCTCCTATAGACCAATCAGACTCCACCTCTCATATCACTTGCATTTGCTTCAAACCAAACTGGCTCCATGTCAAGACGATCTGATTGATAATCAAGGTCTATATTGTGATAAAACGGGTCTTACATCGCGAAGTACATCCAATAACTATGCATAAACTCGTTAGTCCAGCCAAAATCTAGATCCATATTACCAGCCTAGTTCGGCAAGGGTGGAAACTGGACTTTTATAGTCAGTTAACTCTCTTGCCTCGGGAAGATGAGGCATCCAACATGAAGGAAAACAGCCAAAGTATAGTACAGCCATTGAAACCACAACAATCCAACAGCGCCTTCACTGGGATCACTGCACAACATACACAGTAATCACAGCATATACAAAGATTCATTCAAACACCTGAAAAAGGGAGGCCTTTTTATTAAAATTGGTTTAAAACTCCTGCATGAAGCTCTGTTCTGTAATCAGGGTGTCCTTGGTTATGTGAAGAAGGTACGAGCAAAAGTGGATGTTAATGCTGCTCTGAAGTGTATTTCTGTTATATCACAGTGTGTGGCATTTATGTGGGGGGAAAGCCCAAAGTGAAGCAGATTTACCCACAAGCTTGTGTGAAGTGCTGACAAACCAGTGAGTATGGAATCGAACCACAGATCAGCAGATCTTGGCACAGCTAAGGGAGGCAGCTCTGCAAACAAAACCTGTTCTCTATAACTTCCTTCTTGTTAAAACCAAGAGACCATGACCATATTTAACCCATACAATAAAAACTGGGATTCATATGAATAAATGTTATACAAAGCATTCAGACAGTTAAGCAGTTTCCTCCCTTGATTGAAGGCCAAGCGGTGACCTGAGCTGGAGAGGAGAGTGATTGCCTCGAGTCTCAATAAGTATGTTATGGCAAAAAGGTCAACAGACAAAAGATTGTTTGAGCAGTGAATTTGGCTGATTGTCAAATTATGATTGGTTTTCTGCTTAAAATAATAATAAAGGCATGATTAGTCATTACAATGCTTAAACAGAAAACAAATTGGCATATGTAAAAGATTTGTCTTGAACTGAAAAAATACAATGAGTGAGTGTTTTTTTAAAAACACATCATGTCATTTTTGAGGAAGTGATGCAGGTATTGTGAGTGAGTGTGTTGGGTTTAACGCCGCTTTTAACAGTATTGCAGTTATATCACGGCGT